TGAAATATGGTTTTCTATATGTAATATGCCCGTTTGATACATAGATTTTTTTGGTACATCTGTGGCGCGTAGAATCAAAGGAAAATAATCACTCAAATATGTTCTTGTGAGGAGTTGATGTGTTTGGAGGTTGCTCCACTGTAGGTCAAAAAACTGATTGATAGTGCTCTTCATATGAGACTGAGCATTAATCCGCTTTAGTTTGTTGTCCAGTTTAATTGTGCTCTTCTATACCTTCCAAACTGTTCCTAGTGTTAGAAAAAAATTATTTTGGGAGGGTAAGAACAATGCTAGATGTNACTTGACGCACGGTGTTACTAGAGATGGACCGGGGGCGATGGTGCCGGCGAACAACCGTTTGTGCCGAGAGTGAACAATTGATAAATTACCGGGTAACACATCGACTGAAAAAAAATATTTAGCAGTGTTTTATCTGGGTTTTATTTTTCGGGTGGGCGGTTGAAATTTTTGGAGGGGCTGCTGGCTAGAAAATTTGTTATCATATAGTAACGGGTGGCCCATAAAGAATGATGGTCTCATTATTTACTCAATATCGCTTTTGCACTTCATTGATTTGAGCTGAACATTTTCCCAAAAGATTGAGCATTCAATTCTCTACAAACTCATGTGTAAAAGATTTTTTAAAACTACAACACGGCTAAGTACTGAAATGAGGAAAAAAGGTTAAAAAATCTTCAACTTCCAAGCACTAAATCAGCTTTTTTTTGAAAATTTGCGTTCCACGTGAAGATCTACAAAAAAACTCAGTCTACCATGTCAAAGAGCATCAGATTTTGGGCAAGATTCATGTCTTCGAATTTTGTTTCATTACAAAATGATTAAAAGATTTTGCATCAGTGTTTTTGCTTGTTCTAAAAAACACAATTGTGATGTCATGTTTTTTATGCTTGCACTAAAACGCATGCCATTCACTTAAAAAGTGTTATTTTTTTGACAATTTTTTTTCTTTGAAAGCCAACATACTCAACTACACCCCTGTACACATGTTCGAGTGATGCAAAGTTTCGTTTGCAGTAGACGTTCTTGTAAACCGAAATTAAGGCGTTTTGGACGAGTTTTCAGAAAATATCGATTTAATAGGCGAAGACCACTTTTAAAGAAATGTTTTTCAAAGATATCGAAAAGAGCGTACTTGAAAATACCAGAAAATATTTCTCCCGTAACTTAAGCCTGCGTATAAATTGTCGAAACATACTCCAAATGTTAATGTATGTTGAGCTTGAAAGTTGAAGATTTTTTAACCTTTTTTCCTCATTTTAGTACTTAGCCGTTTTGTAGTTTTAAAAAATCTTTTACACATGAGTTTGTAGAGAACTGAATGCTCAATCTTTTGGGGAAATGTTCAGCTCAAATCAATGAAGTGCAAAAACGATATTGAGTAAATAATGAGACCGCCATTCTTTATGGGCCACCCGTTACTTTTATTAAATCAACTGTTTATTTTCGGATGGGCGAATCAAAATTTCGGGTGGGCGGCGCCCACCCTACCCATACGGTAGATAAATCACTGGAATACAGAAATTTAGACAAGAAGATATGTAACACACAAACAAATGAAGGTAACAATGAGTTCTATTGAAAGATCAATGAATATATGTATTTTTTTTCTTGAAATGCTAATCTTCTCTTGATTGCTATTGATATGTAAAACCCTCTACCTTCATATTTTAGAGAGCTTACTTAACTTTTCAATACTATAATTTTCTCGTCTGTCTCGATCATGATCATGATCTCTTCATAATCATATTGAAAATTCGACTGCTTACGATAATCATTCAATATCTTGATATAAATAAATATTTTTCTCTTAGCTTTGTAACTGTAGACGAGATATCGTAAAGAAACTCAAGCCCATCGGAATATTTCAATAGACTAGAATATTATTGGACCATAATTTAATGAATATTATGCAAAGCCTCACAGAATATATAGCTAATCGATAATAACTAAAATAATATCTTCATCATGTTTTACTTTTTTTTTGTCTGTATGATGGCGGCAATACTAGATATATTGCTTATCGATGAATAAATCTTCTTGAAGGAAGATAATATATATACATAGGATTCAATGTTGATCTAATATCAATGTTGTTATCGGATAATATGCAAAAAAAAGAAAAGAACTATCAGTCAACTTTTGTCATGTGTCTATGTTTTTCTTTTGATATCGATTATTAGAAATGCGTAATACTTAAGGTTTTGTTTTTAATTGAATTTGCCTAGAATTATCTTCAATTGTTATATTTACTAATTTTAGTGTACTATTGAAAGAAGATCAAAATGTAACATAGAATCAGAAAAAAAAGTGTACGCGTCAATTAAAGTTCTACCAATCGAGATGATCTAGTTATTGCTTTTCGTCAATTTTATCAGTTAATCGACTTATGCTATCTTTTGGTTTCAAGTGCATAAGATAATGTTCATATTCAATAAAACTAAAAAGAAGTAAAATGATAAAACAAAACTATAGACAAAAGTTAATACCCATCTTCGTCAATAGGTATATCTTTCATCATTTCCTTCATTTCATTGTCTGACAATGGCTCACCCATAGTCGTCATAGCTGTTTTAAATGTTTCTACATTGATTAGACCTTAAAAAGACTGCATTGAATAGCCAATGAAAAACAAACTCCTTTTCGATTTACCATAACGATTTTTATCAAAAGAATAAAAAGCTTCTTGTATTTGTTCATATGAATATTTCGTACATGACATTGTTGATATTAAATCAATAAACCACAAGTAATCAATATTTCTATTATGAATAAATTCCAAATCAATTTTTGCAAAATCATTTTCTGTTGGCGTAAAACCAAGTGCTCGTATAAGAAAATGTACATCGTTTACTGTAATAGCACCTGTATTATTTTCATCTATGATTAAAAAAGCTTCTTTAAATCGTGCTTCATCGATATCATTCATATTAATTAATTATAGGAATGAAAAGAGCGAAGAAAAAAAAGAAGAATGATAGATAATTATGTTCTATCGATTCGATATCTGACGACATCTATTGATTATGAAAGAAGGAAAAAATTAAGAACAATGCAACAATATGGCTGCATATTTTTAACGACACTAGTCAGCTGTGTATGGATCAGACATAAAAAAAAAAAAAGAAAGACGAAATGAATCATTTGTTCTTTCTTGTTGTTTTATTATTCCCGAGCGAACGAACAAATAAGACGCGGAAGCAATAATAAGCATCGAAAAAGAAAAAAATGTCGAGGTCCTTTTCATTTGTTTTTCTTATTGCCTTAGAAGGATAGCTGTGCGTCTTTGTTATTTATGAAGATATTTTTGTTCTTTTTTTTAATATTTTAGACAGGTATAATGGCTTCGATATGACATCAAATTATACTAGAGAAGATGATACAACAGTAATATTCGGAACAAACGGTATTTTTCTTTCTTCTCCTTCACTTCATCCTCTTACAACGACATCAACAAATAATAATAATAATAATAATTTCGAACCATTAGCCGGCAATATGCTTGATGCTGAAATTGATTCGGATCCTCAAATGTCCGATAGTGAACTATCATGGCAATCTGTAACTGATGTTGATAGTTTAACTGCTACCAATCATTGGCGTGGTTGGAAACAACAGATAGCAACATCATCATCAATAGCAACAAGAACTGCACATAATTCATTACCATCAACTAATTCAACATCTTTATGTTTTTTTCCGTCAATAACATCAAATGAAGGTTTGATAAAAATTAATAGAATTAAATTTGCATTATTCTTATTCTGGATTTAGATCGAATTCCGACTTTAGTTGATTTAAGTGCAAAAACGATTGCTCGACATATCCCATTTGAATTAGTTGAACGATATAATCAACCTGAACAACCAGTACCAGAAAATTTACAACTAAAAATTGCTTTTTGGAGTTTTCCAGATGGTATAGAAGATATTCGGTAATTTTTATTTTTTACTTTCAATGATAAACAAATCAATTTTCTTACATGTTTTCTTTTAGTTTATATACGTGTGTTGCGAATGGCAGTACCGATGAATTTACTAAAGCTGAAGCATTACAACAAGCAAAAGCTGTACAAAATATGTTACAGATTGGTTTTCATTTAAGTTCACAAGTTTATGATATTAATTCAATAACAAATATAAATAAAGCAACGATGCAATACTATCATGTATCAATTATATTTGATAGAAAAAAGATTACTTCGTGCCATTGTACATGTAATAATCCAAGTTCATGGTGTTCACATATTGTAGCTGTTTGTCTTTGCCGGATAGCACAAGTAAAAATTTGATATCTCTTTCGTTATATATATATCAATTCTTTTTTAATTCATGTTTTTCAGCCAGAGAATTGTTGTCTTCGAGCACCAGTTTCTGAATCATTATCACGACTTAAAATTGATCAATTACGGTATGTCGTAAATGTTCGCATTAGAATTGATATTTTACTAGTAGTTGTGTTGTTTTTATTTCAGTAAATTTGCGCAATATCTCATTTGGGAAATCCCTCAACAAGTATGTTAATTCTTGTATTGAACTATATAATATTCAATTGTACTTTTATTATTTATAGTTCTTACCTAAAGCTCAGAGTTTACTAGATGAACTACTTAGTGATACGCCAACTAATGTAAATATGTTGCAAGGAGCACCGGTTAGATAGACAATCTATTTCATATGTTTTTCTCAAGTTTATCTTGTATTTTTGTAGGATCCGACTGCTGGTGGTCTTTCATCAGACATATCTGTCTGGTATTTAGATGAAACAAGTTTACAGGAGAATATTACTAAAACTCTTCATCGTTTTTGTCAACCAACTCCACAAGTTGTTGGGTAGGAATAATTTTCTAATTTAGATTTTGATGTGAAGCATATTCAAATTTCTCTCGAAATTCCTGAATTTGTTCATACTTCTTACATGAACGTTTTCCCCCTTATTATGTATTTTTAATAGTCTAACTCTAAAGTTTGGGAACTTTCAAACTTAATTGTTATTGAGTCATCTATAACGAAATACATATCGTCACAAAAGTTTCCTCGAAAACTTTTGTGCAATGCTCCATATTGCATATCATAAAAGTAAAAGTTAGAATAAGCAAATCAAAAAAGTAGTTTAAATCAACTCAAAATTGCTGTGTTTCACTTATTGACATAAATAGACTTCGAACTTTTTTCGTTAATTTCTATATCTTCATCTTTGTCATTCTCGAAGTTCAAAATGAGCTATTTTGTCTCAGTAGAAAATTATCAATGGTGTATAGACACTTAGCAATAATTACGTAAAATTAAAAATATCAGCGGTTTATCTATTTTAATAAGTATATTTCAAGATTCGTATTTGCATATATTTAAGTTTATTAGTAAGTTTATCGAACTGAATATATATTGTTCTTATATTCGGAGAAATTATTTTCTTGAAAATAAAATGATGTTTCTTTCATTTTTTGAATACACATTTAACTGTTTTTTTTTACTCTACTGTTTCAGTGATGTAACATATTTAACGAGTCCACCTATATTAGCAACAACAGAATACTCCAATCTTTTACGTCCATTGCGTGGTCGTGAACCTGAAGGTATGTGGAATTTGTTACAAATTGTTCGTGAGATGCTTGCACGACATGATCTTAATGGTACACAATTACTTGATATTCTTATTCGTCAATGTCTTGCACAAGAACAAGTGAGTTAAATACAAATATGAAATGAGACGCTTTTCTGATGCAAATTTTTTCGTCTTCTAGATAATTCAATGGTGGTTTACAACAAAAGTGTCCAACGTTTATAATGAACGTGGTACCAACGGATTGAAACCTCATAATACATCTCTTGTTCAACAAGCAAGTTCAGCTTTATGTGATGAAATAGTTCAGATTTCGCGTTTAATTGCATTGAACCCACGTTTAAATAATGATGAACGTAATTCAATCTATATGAAATTATGCTCATGGCATTTATCAATCATAGAACGTATATGTAAACAAAAAACTACAACAACTAATATATCAACAACGACTAATGGAGTTTATACAAACTCATCAATGAATTTAACGAATGATCGAACCTTAAACCAAAAGCGACGTGATATTGATATATTTCCTGGATTTTTACCAGCTATTGAAGTATGCCAAATCGATTGGAATAATTGTCCTTATTCTCCAAATAAAATGGAAGAAAATAATAACAATAATAATACACGCTCATGGTCGGAATATATCCGTTCCTACGATGAATTATTATTAGATGGATATTTAAAGTTAAATTCAAACACACATTTCAATGTAAATACTCAACAACAAATTATATCTCCACCGATATCAAATAGTCATGTAGAAAGTAATTCTATTGTGCAACAAGATGATGAGGTTAACAATAACAATGATGAAAAATGTCAAGATATCGACAGTGGAGAAGAATCATGTGGAGGAGTTAATGTTGATCAACCATCATCATCAAATAGTAGTGATGAATGTCGAATTTATTTTGCGGATCAGAAACCATTAACGAAACATCAAAAAATGAAACCATCACAAACAACAGCAACCATTGAGCCATATACGTTTAGAATATTTAAAAAAATTAATGATCCATTACAAGTATAAACAAAGAAATGCTGTTAATACACAAAAAAGCGTCTACGTTTTTTGTTTGTTTGTTTATTTAGGTTGCATTTGTTCGATGCGAAGCATTACGTATACATGGCTATCATGGTGAAGTATTTAAACTTGCAAAACAATTAGCTGATTATATGCTTAATAATGATGAGTACTCATCTTCTTCTCAAGGTTTGTTTAAATTTTCCATGTTATACATTTGATGAAAAAATGATGTTACGTATAGAACTATTTCAATGGTTTATTTTCGAGTAATTTATATATAGAGAATGATGGAGAATTTTTCGTAGTTTGATTATGCCAACGGATAATAATTAATGACATCATCATATACAGAGAGTAAATATTTTTATGGTTGATATTATCCATTCAATTGATGATAGAAAGCAATTAGTGATATATAGTTGTCAAAAATTTTTCATTGTCACTAGATTAATCCGCTGCTATAATTTGTAGTGCATAAGTGTGTTTAAAACTTCAATTAATTGCAATGTTTTATGCGAAGTTTAACTTATGTTCGATGGACATTCAGCTAGTATTATGATAGTGTTACAAGATTATGAAATTATATTTTCTAAAGAAACAAGGATGAAGTCTATTTTCACAGAATGTTTTTTCTCCGAGATATCTAATTTTCAGCATATAGTGCTGTTGACAATTTTAGTTGTCGTATACTTCAGTACGAGAAACACAAAAGGGGTCTTTGTGTCAAACTTGACATCTCAACGACAACAGAATCAGAAAAAAGAACTTATCTGAAGCGGAGTCAACAAGCGTTTCCGTATCTTTGAGTTATTATCTAGTCGCTTAGATATTATCATTGTGAACTTGTCTACTAATTGAAAGTTTGTGTTGGTTAAGTAGATTCAAATCCTATGAAAACATCAAGATATATCGAGTCTATGGTGCATATGATTACATTTTTGTGAGAGGTTTATCAATACGGATAGAAACTAATTCAATTAAAAGCTAAAATTTTTCTATGGATCTTCATTTTATATTTTTAATTGTTTTTTGTAATTCTTACTTAGAAGACAAGTAGAGTGTGAGTTTCAGAAAATCTGTGTTCTAACTATAAAAGTATTCGTATGTAATAGAAACAAGAAATTCGTTGGCATTCTGCTTCATGGTATAGTTTCATAAAAAACTCAAAGTTACTTGATCATAGAAACATTAGCATAGAAAATGAAGGGTATTTTCTCTTGCAATAAACAGGTGTTTCAACTCAATGATAATTGAAATCATCAAAAATATTCTCAAAGATTGTGAAAGAACAATCATATAAATTGTATGACATAAGACCTCAAACGGTTCTCTTACATATATAGATATCTATATACATTTAAATTTGAATAATTTCGATGTATAAGGTTTTTTTCCTAAGGAACTTTGGAATAAAAGATTTTACTCATTTGTATTGATTGTTTTTCCAAGTAAAACTCAATCGAATGACATAATTGTGTTTTGTTTTAGCTCATTTGGATGTTCATATATCGGATTATGCTCAATTTCCTATCGCTCGTTGTGCATTTCTCTGTACAATTCTCAATGAGTCACCTGAATATCAGCAACTTGCTTTTCGCATTGGTTTACTCGGGCTTGAAATATGTCGTATACCAGCCACAACAAAAGCACTTGAAGTACGTTTACTTAATTGTGAACAAGAGATTTGCCAAGAATTAAAAAAAATAACTCTTGGACAAAATGAAATCGACATATTACGACAACGTGCTGAACATTTATGTGCTCGTCTTTTGAATATACGTGACGATGGAGTTTTGCTACCACTTAGTTTAGCAACATATATATTTGAAACGTTACGATCACTTAGTTTATATCGTATCAATCTTAATTCGAATTCGAATTTATCATTATCACAAAATTTTTCAATTGTATCATCAATGGAAAATAATCATCAACTTAACGATTCTGATGAATTACTTGCTTTTGATACAGCTATTTGTGCACTTGGAGCTAAATGTTATATTTCCGAAGGTAATTTGTTTTCTATTTTGTTGCAATAACAAGTTCGTTTCATATTTTATTTTAGCACAAAATCCAATATTATGTGAAGGTATTCGACGTCAGCGTAGTGATCTTGCACTGAATCTATTAACATTATATAAAGATGATCAAGGACGATTAATTCAAATTCTTGATAAATTACTTGATCGTGATATACATGTTTTATTTAAAAATTCCAATGTAAATCCATTTAATGTTGGTTCAAAAAAGCACAATCAAAGTTTAACATCATCTCAGCAAACAAATATAAATTCATCATCAACAGCATCTTTGTCAAATCGTACACATAAAAAGTCACTAGCAACAGCGTCAAATACAACTGGTGAACCATTAGCAGAGATTGATAGCTCTGGTTTGGATGAAAGTGAAGGTGAGAATTTTGATCAAAAAGCATGGGAAGCAAAATTTCGTTGTCTGAATTTAAAAACAAGTTCAAAACGAATATCAAATGGTAATAAGAATACATTTTTTTGTTAGTTGACGTTTAAATTTTGTTTCACATAGGTTTTACAAGTATTGATAGCAGTGCACCAGAAACAAATTCAAGTGACAATTCACCAACTGTGTCGCGGCGAAATATTCGTATATCATCATCGAAAGCAAATGCTGACTCTGAAAGTGATAGTGAACGTGATACAATACAAAGAAATGGTTAAAAATAATATTAATAATAAATAATTCTTTTTAAACCTTTTCTTATAGTTCGTGTTGAATCTCCATCACGTATAGATTTAAATATACCACCATCGTCCGAAATTTTTTCTTCTCCGACACTCCCTTTAACAACATCAAGAAATACTTCGGCAATACCTAAATCTATTAATTTACAACAACCGTCACCAAATTCACATAATTCAAAATCTACGAAAGGTCATATAAATACATCGAATGGAAAACATCGGTCGCCATGCATACCTAATCAGCCATCAGAGGCATTATGTCACTTTATGTATGAATTAGCTAAAACACTTGTACAACGCGCTGGTGGCACAACATCAACATCACTATTTGTTGGTCCAACACATAATTATCCTCCGCCACATAGAAATTTACATTTATGTGCAATCACAATAGCACTCTATGCACTAGGTGTTAATAATCATGTACAAACCAATTGGATGATTCGTACATATTCAAGTCTTGTATCATGGATAACATCAACAGCTATCGACATTGGTTTACAAGCGATATTAATATTAATTGAATGTTGGGAAGGACAATTAACACCACCTGAATGTGCTGCTATAGCTGATCGTGCATCACGTTCACGTGATAACGCTGTTGTACGTACTGCTGCTGAATTAGCCTTATCGACATTGAAATATGCTCATGCACTAAATGCAGCTGAAATACGTCAAGCATTAGCGCAATGTAAAGAACAAAATATTGATATGCTGGAACGAGCATTGACAACAATTGAAAATGCAACACGTGATGGAAATTTAGTATTTATTGATATTTTATTTGAAGTTGCTAAACGTTGGTATGAAATGTATTATGAACGAACAGGTGATTTATTAAATAGTGATGATGATGCCACTGTTGTTGATATGCGACAGCAATTTGATAATAATTCAATGGTAACACCAACGAATCCAATGGATTTACAGTGGGCACATACAAATGGAACAAATTTATCATCATCATCATCAACAACATCAATGCCATCACAAATGATGTATACGTCTAATAATCAAAATACAAACTTTTCAACACCATTTCAACCGCATCCATCACCACACTTTAATACGCATGCTTACATGATTCAAGCTCAACATGGACCACAAGCACAGGCACCTCAACCAACAATGCATCATCATCAATTAGGAACTTTCCATCAGCAAGTAGCATATCAACAAATCATTCCAATACAATATTCTTGTCCACAACAGCAGCAGCAGCAGCAGCAACAACAGCAACAGCAACAACAACAGCAACAACAACAACAACAACAACAACAACATTTTGCTTTTCACACGGGCCCAACAAATAATTTTCATCCTCATTCACATCTTCAACGTCATCCACCACCTCCACAACAAATGCCTAATGCCATACTTGTCAGCCCAGGAAATTTTCCCACAGCCTATACAATTCATCATGTACCATCAACAGGAAATTCTCAGATGTATCCTCCAAATCAAAATCAACAACAATCATTTTATCCTATTAGACAAATGCCATTAGTTGTTTCAGCACCTGCAGAACCTAATATTTCACCATCAACAACAGCCACTCCAGCAACACAACAGACGAATATTCCAAGTCCTAGTACAACTCCATCAGCTGACGTAAGAACAAGATCATATTTTCTTTTACAAAATATCATTAATAATTTAATTTCTAGCAACAACAACAACAACAACAAACAGATCCGAATCATCGTCAATATTTACTGAATGCATTTCGTGTTGGTATGTTAGCAATGAATACACTTGCATTAGAACGTGCGCGTCAAAATCATGCACATATGGAACGTCGTAGTGAACAAAATCATCCGACACCACGCTATGGTGAAGACGTCAAATGGCTTCTTAAAATTGCACTTAAATTAGGTATGATAAAACAAAAGATAATTTTACTGAAACAGACGAAACAAAAAACAATATTTATTGTATTCTTTTTAGGCAATGCTGAATTACAGGAATTTGTTACCACAGCAACGGCTGTTATTGTTAATCCGTATTTACTACATAGTCTTGCATTTAATATTTATAATGTTTCACAAAATAATCCTAATGGTTCATCATCAAATCAAATGCTTCGTTTACCATTTGTTCAATCATTGATGCAAAAATGTTTACATGCATATACACGTTGTGTACATAATAAAATGGCACATATGACAACAAATAATGATATTGAAGAATTAACATCGCTGATGAAACATGCACGTTCAGCATTTTTATTTATGGGTAATACAAGTGATTATCAAGGTCTAATGAATTTTGTTAAAACATCAAAAAAATGCAAGAAAGATGTTTATCCAAGACTTTGGCAAGCGATTCAAAATTAAAACAAAACAAAAAAAGAAGAATTTCATACATATTTTTCTTTTCTTTTCATGTCTATTTGCCATAAATTAGGAATGTTTATGTGCGTGTTACGTTTTTTAGGTATATGCATCTTGTTTTTCTTTTCTGTTTTTCTTTTCGTTTCTCCCGTTTCTTTTATATGTAACATCATATGGGCAGATTTTCCACCTTATTACCAGATACAATGTATAGCGGCTAAATACGTTCATTTTGCTCTTTCGCTTCTTTTCTTGTCTGTTGTGTGTTTGTTGTTTTGTATGATCTATGCGATTTTTTCCCTTCTAGTGTTAGTTTATTTAAAAAAATTTAAAAACAAAAAAATACGACTAATTTGCGCTTCTACTCTACTACTCATGTATCGTATATATTATTCTTTCTAATTATAATTTGAATTTAAAGAAAAGAAATCCATGATAATAAATAAGCATTAATAATGATGATGAACAACTATCTTTTTGTAGAAAATAAGTGCAACGATAGAATAATGCTACGTTCTCGGCTATTATCGATTAATCAACTGGTGCTTCAACGAACTGTTGTAACGAAAGCAAAAAGTTTTGCTGTGAATCATGAAAATAAAGAGGAAGAAAAACAGCAAGATATAAAACTCGATAATTCATCTTCAAATATGCTGTATAAACCTCCACGACGACCATTAAAGCATCAATTTACGCATCAAGTAACAAATCAAGTTCCACCACTTGAAAAAGTGAATCTGTATGAAACTGATTTAGCCTTACAAGAATTTCTTACAAAAGAAAATAGTGGAGAAATGAGAAATATGGCTGCTGAACTAGGTGTTTATCATTGGTTTGAACAGGGACATCGAGCTAATCAACATACACCAATATTAAATCAATTTGATCGTTATGGACAACGTATTGATGAAGTTCAATTTCATCCTTCTTATCATGATCTTATGGGAATAGGCATGCGATATGGTGTAAGTTATTTAGATGATACTTTTAAAACAGCAATCAAAGTGAATCCTATGATATTCTTTTTTTTTAAATAGACTCATTCTATTGCTTGGGAATCATCATCAACAACAACAAAACATGAAGTGAATCCACATGGACATCTACAACATGCGGTAAATAATTCACTATGTGAAGTCCTATCTTTTTCTTCACTGTGAATTAACTTTGTTTTTCTTTTCAAGGCAGCCATTTATCTACTTGGCCAAATAGAATCAGGCGTTTGTTGTCCTTTATCCATGACATATGCTGGCATTCCTGTGCTTGATCGATATCTTCATCGTACAAGTTCAAATTTAACAAAAAGTTTTCCATTAGACAAACTTCTATCTCGCCGATATGATCGACGATTTTTACCAGCCACTACCAAATCTGGTTTAACCATCGGTTAGATAATTTAGTTCTATTAGCGAGAAAGCAAACGAACGATTTTGCATTGGTCTCTTGTCGTCTAGGAATGGCAATGACAGAAAAACAAGGTGGTAGTGACGTTCGTTCAAATACAACAAAAGCTTATAGTGATAATACAGATGAAAAACGTTATATTCTCGTTGGTCATAAGTAAATAAATAATTTATCACAATCAATTATTGATATGACATTGAATATTTTAAAAATTTGTTTTTACTACCTATTAGATGGTTTTGTTCAGCACCGATGAGTGATGGTTTTCTGGTTCTCGCACACATTCAAAATGATGACGTGAATCATAAATCATCATCTACTAGTGTTCCATCGTGTTTTTTTGTTCCACGATGGTTACCAAATGGTGAACGAAATCCATTCTATATTCAACGATTAAAAGATAAACTTGGCAATCGTTCAAACGCATCAAGTGAAATTGAATTTAATAATACGCAAGCTGTATGTATTTTCAGTATTTCATATTAAATTTAAATAAATCAATATGATCTACAGTGGCTGTTGGGTAAAGAACATGATGGTGTCAAAACTATTATTGAAATGGTGCATGGCACACGTTTAGATGCGGCTCTTGGAAGTGCGGCATTAACACGACAAGCTTTAGTTCAGGTAATCATTTTAATTTTATTTAAAAGAAAAACTTGAAAAATATTGCAGAAATTCAAGTGCATCAAATAAATTTTTATTGTAAAAATTAGACTGAAGCACACACTTTCATAGACATCGAGACTATTGTACTGAAGAAATATTCAATAGAAGCATGATGATCTCTAGAGAAATTCATTTTTCCTTCGTGTTAGGCTACGTGGCATGCTCGTCATCGAAAAGCATTTGGCCAATTATTAATTGATCAACCACTTATGAAACAGGTTCTGATCGATTTATTACTTGAATCAGAAGCAGCTACAGCACTTGTTATGTATCTTGCAACGCTTTTTGATTCTACATATAATGCAAATAATTCAACTAACATTAGTGAAACAAAAGCATTCGTTCGTATAGCTACAGCTATATCAAAATTTTGGATTTGTAAACGAACGCCTGAAGCAACCTATGAAGCATTGGAGTGTCTCGGCGGAGCTGGCTTTGTTGAAGAATCAAATATGTCTCGTATATATCGTGAAGCACCATTAAATAGTATTTGGTAGGTCAAATTTATTCTTTGAAATATAGAAACATTATCAATTGAATATTTGTTTTTAGGGAAGGTAGTGGCAATGTTATCTGTTTAGATATATTACGTGCAATGAGAAAATCGCCAGAATCACTTCAAGCTTATTTATCATTTATGCGTGAAACAAAAGGTTCAAATAAACATTTAGATGCAGCATTTGAACGTATTGAAAAAACTTTATTAACAAAAACTTTATCTAACGACATTCTTGAACGTAATGCTCGAACATTAGCTACACAATTAGCATTATGTCTTCAAGCTGCTTTACTCATTCGTCGTTTACCACAAACAGTTAGTGATGCATTTTGTTCATCACGTCTTGGACCTGATCGTGGTTCTATATTTGGTGATTTACCAATGGATATTGATACGGATAAACTTTTAAAAAGATTACCTTTCTAATTTTTATCAACATATTTTCTACGATAACAATTACAAGAAGATAGATGCTTTAGTGTTCTTGTAATTCTATAAAAACTTGATTAACTTATTCTAAATAAAAATATACTAATGATTAACATTAAATTGAACATGTCAAATATTTATTTTGCAGTATTAGTTTTATACGATGGTTTTATGTAAAGAAGAAGAAGAAGAAGAAGAAGAAGAAAAAAAACCAAATTGTTAGTATGATGAAGGAAGATGAAAATAGTAGGCCAGCTTCATTACACAGATTACTCTCTCTACAGTAGATGTTTTATTTATGTAAGTTAAGTATACGAAAACATCCGATTTTCATTAATATTACATTGGTTCTCATACATTGTCATACTTGTGTTTTTCATATTCGAAATCTAAATACTTTTTTAATTTTATTTATCTATGATTTAATATAAAGACAAGAAAAACGAGGGGGAAAAATAGAAAAATACTCTGAGCTCATAATTGCATATACTTAGTTGCTTTCTTCCTTTTCTTCTTCTTCGTCCCACATAATATGTATATCTGTCTTTTATTTTCTGTTATTGTCATTTTTATGATCAATATGTTCTTCTTCGAGATCTTCATCAATAAATGGAATAATGCCCCGGCCTTCATACGCTCCAGTTTCATTGATCGTCATTGAGTTTGTTGAAAGATTTTGTATTTGAAGTAGACGTCGAACAAGAGCAGAAAATTCAGCATAATCTACTTGACGATTTCCATCTAAATCAGCTTCTCTTATCATATCATTAAGTTCATCATCAGTTAGTTTTTCGCCTGAATAATGAAAATTGATTTTTTGTTTTTGTCTATGAAATGCAGAAGCAAAAGTATCTTACCTAAATTACTCATCACAGAACGAATCTCCATTTCGCTAATAAAACCGTTTCCATCTTTATCAAAGATACGAAAAGCTTCATTGAGCAGTTCATCATTAAACATTTCGAATCGACTGTCATCGTTACTAATCATCATTTGTTTAAATTCATCAAAATCGATCAAACCATCACCTAAATAATTATGAAACGAACAAAAGAACAAATTTCCATTTTATCAATATTGAGATACTTGTACAAAAAGAAACTAACCGTCTCGATCTACTTCTCGAATCATAGATTCTAATTCAGAAGGTGTCGTTTGATAACCAATAGAACGTATAACAAAAGCAAGATCTTGTATACTAATTACACCGCCACCCAGTCGATCGAATAAAGAAAAAGCTTCTTTTAATTCTATTGAAAGAAAAAAATTTAATATTTCAATAAAAAACTATATCTATAATTAGTATCAATTATTTATAGTTACTTACTATTCTCTTGTTCAATGGAAATAACGTTTGCTCGCATTGTCATCAGTAGTATTTACAATAATTGAAGACAAAAACAATGTTGAATATGAACGAATGAATAAATAAATGAAAGAAAAAAAGATCACCCACAAGAAATTGGATTTTTCACACGATCGTTAATCAGACGATAAAAGCGAAAGCAGAGAAATTAAAAAACGAAATAGAAAGACAGAAATATTTCTAAACCAGCTGTTCTCTAAGTTCTTAATATTATACTGATTCTCTCTTGGTATCCATCTCATCTAAATATACACAGTTAATTCTTCGTTCGAGGATATGTTTTATGTATTTGTCTGTCTTTTGCATGAGATTTGGTTGTGTATGCCGTCAGCCGTTGTATAGCCCAATACTATAAGCGAAGAGCGGAAATTTGTTGAATGCATGCGTATCGGCGCGTCATACGACGATCATCGGAGTTTCTTCGATAGCGAATACTAGTCTACTAGCATGATCCCAAAAGACAAAAGCAGTAACATAAGAATTCTTTTTCCTTGTATGCTTCTACGTTGAGTGCTTCGTATTCTGCATTTCATTGTTGTTTCATTCTCTGCTCTTACTAAATGCCTGCAATGATAATAATAGTAATACTAATAAAAAAAAAAAAATAAGGACAATCCAGTCCTTCGTGTTCAAAATTGTCATCCTTTTCAATCTGCATCAAAGTTAGCGCCAGGGGAAAAAACATATAGTCCAGGTCGATGTTGTTTTCTGAATGATTTAATGAATATGTAAAAGGAAATAAACACTAGTGAAATGTACGAATAAAATTATTTTGGAAAAAAGCTGCACGACATGATTTGATGATATGATAGGATAATTTTTCTTTTATTGATACTACGATTTATCTCACTAACATGATAAAGTATCTATTGGATCACGGAAAAGACAAGACTGAAATTGTTTATTGTATTGAAAACTGAGCTTTTCGTTTCGTACTACAAAAACTATCTATTTCTGTGGTTTCAGTTTCTTTTTTTCCTTCTATATCAGTACATAACGTTATCCGAGAACTTGTCCTTTTCGGCCAGTTATTCTTGTCATCGACATCAGCCCTACTAGAACCAATATACTTCTATTAATGGGATTACTATTATTGTCGGCGTAGGTCCTACGCTTGGTCTCATGTTCCTCTTTTTTCTCTCTCGTATCGACAAGAAAAGAATCACCCGTTTCCTATTTGACTAGCTCAGCATTGCTACGATACGGGAATACTTTAGCTGTTTTTTTCTTTCTCTCTGTCTGTCTGTCTGTTCTTGTTTAGGTTCGTATTTGTACATATATTCTAGTATGATGTGCGCAGAAGTGTTCCTCCTGTCTTCTTTTCAGTGTCCTGTTTTTTTTTCTTCTTTTCCATTCTGAATTGCTTTATATTGGGCTATTCTCGTGTTGATTTACTCGTTTGTTCTGTAGACTGCACACATTGAGTACCATCGAGAATATGCTTATGCGGAATTTTCTCCACTTATTATTTATAGGAAACAAGCAGCGTTGTATCGTTTATTTCTCTCTTTCTGTTCTTTTTCGCTCTGTTTGAGGAGATCATTCTCGGAAAACAGCAATAGATATTTACCGAAGAAGACGTTCTATCCTTGCAACCACACAACAACTATATCATAATGGTGAGTGACTGCGGACTTCTTCTATTCTCTTTTTCTTTTTGAAAGATAATCGTAATTCAATAAATTAATGTAAATATATTAGGCTGAAGAAGAACCAGAATTTCAATTGAGTGAAGAACAAATCGCTGAAATTCGCGATGGATTCAATATGTATGACAAAGAACGAAAGGGTGAAATTCCAACATCTATTCTTGGAACAGTCATGAAAAATCTTGGACATAATTTAAAACCTGATCAATTGGCTGACTGCATTGATGCTGTTGATGGTGACGGTAAGTTACCTAAGACTCAATCGTTTCTTCCTCTTCTTCATATGATATAGAAAATTATTATTTTTTTTGTTTTTGTACATAGGTAGTGGTACTGTTGACTTCGTACGTCAAAAAAGAAGAATACAGAATTATTCAATGATCTTTTGTTTGTTTTTATTTAGGAGGAATTTCTTGCTTTGATGTCCAAGAAAACAAAAGAAGCTGAAGATGAACGAGAATTACGTGAAGTATTTCGTGTATTCGATAAAAATAGCCGTGGTGTCATTGATGTAAAATAATGAAAATAAAATTGATTAATTAACTTTATTATCATTCTTTTTTTCTGAATTTTAGGTAGCAGATTTAAAAATGATTTTTAAGGCACTCGATCCTGACATGCCAGACGATGAAGTAGAACAAATTATTTCGGAAGTCGATGAAGATGGTTCTGGTACAGTTGATTATGAAGGTTTGTATTTTATACTTTTTGCAAAAAAACAAATGACTTGATTAATTTTTCTTTCAATAGAATTTTACAAATTAATGACAGGCTAAATAAATTCAATACTGTCCTCATCTTTACATCGTTTCTTTTATTCTCTGGTCAACAGTATTAAATTTTTATTTTCGTCTTTTTACTCTCTTTCTCCTTGTTCATTGTATTACACTGGAACATGTTTTTTTTACAACTCTTTACAACATTGTGTGTAAACCTTCTCTCTTTCTCTCTTTTTTTATTGATTTCGTTTTCTAATACTTTTTCTTTGGTTATCAAAATAAAAGAAATATCTAAGGACTTTTAACAAACAACAAAAAGAATAATGAGATTGATTTTTCTTTTTTGTTTCTGCATTTTGCCTTGAGAAAAGCAATGCATTAAAAAAGCAACAATAAAAACTTGTCGTCTATGTCGTTAGAATGTTTTTGCGCTTGAAGAAACATATCGACGTTTTGTGAAATATTTCATTTCTTTTTCCTTTTGTACTCTCGGTTTCATTTTGGCTTCTACAAATCAATTCGCTAAACGATGACGTCGATCACAACAACGCGAACAACGTTTGTTTTCAAACCAAACAAACACTTTTCTTTTCTCACTAGTATTACTGTTCGAGTATAATTTGAAATAGAAAATGGAAGCAAAAAGAAAAAGAATTAGTATGCATGTTGTTCTCTGATACTTGACGTTGAAACAATCGAACACCATTGTCATAAAGCTTGCAAGTCTATTCAACTGCTGGAAAACGTTTGAGTGAATTGAAATGAACTTTGATTGAACAATAGTGTACGAAAGGAAATAACAATGACTGTCTTACCATTTCTTGACATTAAAGCTACACCAGTACGCTCACTCGAATCACCAAGATTATCAAGAACAAAATCATTTCCTCATACAACTGAATTTAATGGACAACAATCATCACCCGGATCAAGACGATATTCAGGCAAATTATCTTCATCATCACCAATACGTAGTTCAATTCCATCGGCACGTATACATACACCTAAAATAAAGATTGTTGCTCGATCAGATGAAATTTTAAAACAATTACCACATCAAAAGACAGCCAATGTACAAACTTTACATTCCATTTGGAAACCATTAACTCGTGAACAACCCGACTATGATTATCTATGGGAGCCTGTACAACGTGAAGATATACGTCATCAATATGATACATATATAGCACCACAACGTATTATTGCTAGTCGACCTGATGAACAATTTAAAATGACAACTATGTTTGAAACTGAAGATAGACATTATCATAATTATAAACGTGTTCAGGCTATGCAACAACGACAATGGAATCAGCAACACATGCAATACACTATTTATCCATATTCACACATGGAGGAACGTGAAATGTACAAGTAAATATTCATTTTTATATTATTCTGTTTGTTAGTTTATTTTGTCCCAACTTTTTATTCATTATCTTAAGTAAACAAATTCGATCAACGCTCAAAGAACAAATGGAACATAAAATTCAAGCAGATAAAATTCAAATAGACATGAAAAATCGGGCTACTGAAATAGTTATGGAACAAGATCGAAAAGATATAGAACAAGAAAAGCAAAGACAAATAGATCGAGCTAAGCTTTTATTACATTTCACTGTTAAAAACAAAGAAGTTAGAAAATCATATTTTAGATATGAAATATACTATTGCATGTGTTTCATTTTAGTTAATGGAAAGCAAATGGGAATATGACAATTGGAATCGTACGCATCAATGGCATGTTGAACGAGCTGTACTAGCCGATACTCCGATCAATTGGAGCAAAACAATGACTTAAATAAAATTCCGTTGATATTGAAAACGTGACCTATAATCAAAAAACAATTTCGGAAAAATTTTCTTTCCTTTAATATTTATTGATTCTTTTTTAAATTTATTATTATTTTTTTGTTCTGTTAACTGTCGCTATAGAAGAGTAGTTGCAGTTACCAAAACAAAACAAAAAAAGAACAGTTATGATTTTGTATAATCAAAATTGACAACTATCTAGTCGAAAGGAGATATAGGCTTGTCGATTTCTACTAATTAAGTCTTGTCTTATCAAAAAGAACTAAAAATATTTCCATGAATAGATATATGTATCAGGCAGAATTGAGTTTTAGGCAAAATTTAACCATACTTTTAAAAATTTTAATTTAATTTAGCATCTTATAAAAAACTTAATTATGTCGACGATAAATAAAGTTTCTAGCACGCGAAGTGTATTAAAATTTAAAAAGACAAGTTTTAATAGATGAGTGAGCATCGCTAATTTCAATCATATTTCTTTGAAGACGATGTATCGCTTGGTTACTTCGCGTAATGAAAACTATATCTTCTTCAGGAAGATGTCGAGTTCGCTAGCTTTTTCAATGCAAAATGATATCTTGTTCAGGAAGATGTAGTATGATATTTTTTGTTGCAAAGAGCAAATATGCACCATGTTGAGTGATCTATATTCATGAAGGTATTTGCAACGATGTAGAATTCTGTTAAATTTTACGTAAAGAAGAAGATTTTTGCGTTGTTCATGCGCCTGTATTCAAACAGTAATATTAACTTTAAGTTAGGTGTAGATGTATCGAGTGAACTCAATTGTTAAAAGTAGTGTATCTGTTGAAAAAAGCGTTGTCGGAATTTCTCTTGATTATATTTTGTGATATATTAGCACTATTTCAAGATTTGTACGAGAGTATATGTATGTTATATGGTTATTATGTTTGCAATTATTGAGATTCGTTTGTAAATTTATGATCGTTAGTTTCTCTGGTAGTTCGAAAGAGTGTTAATTGAAATCAAGAATAAATTATGCGTATGTAGTTTGTGGTTAATAAAAATGAAGAAGTTCAATAGAATTGTATTAAGGTATGTTCATAAGTATTAATTGTTACATAATCTATTATATGTAAAATATATAAGTTTAATAGAATATTAAAATGCTGGTTTACCGTGATAATGATTTATTTTTCCATTTCTCATTCGAACTCTTTTATTGACGACCTGTTCAGGTACTTCCGCAATCTATGTATGAAAATTATTGTGAATAATGTTGATCGAAGTACTTCTGTTTTAATGTTTATCTTTTCATTCCATATTGTTATGTTAATTGTACCGGTATCGTCTTTTATTTTTAATGAACGTCGACTGTAAGATTGACCATTAGAATGAGAGATATTTGTTGTTATGCCATTGTCGAATAAAACTAAACCTTCCACATCTATTACGAAAGAGAATTATTATGTTTTTAACATTCACAAGGGGAATAAATAGGAAAGTAATAAAACATCATCATAATCAAATTTTCTAATGTATGCGAGCTGATATTGAATATGGTTATGGATTTACTCTCATAGATTTTTTTATATTAGGTTGAGAAGAAAATATTAGTATGTGTGCAATTAAGAATCATTCTGTATGTAAAATTTTTAAAATCTCTTTCAATTTTTTAATTTAGATGATTAGTATTATGAATGATATTATCTTAGTTATAGTAAGACGACGATCTCGAGGCTTAGATATGCCAATGTATGAACCGTGTAAAATGCTATGTATATTGCGAATATCTTGTTTTCTAATTAATATGACAGGATTGAATGATATTGATTTATATGTATTGATGATAGTAGTAGGTGTTAATCGAAGTTCATATAAAGAATAAGGCGAAGTAAAATTTTCGTTAGCTATTCGTACATCGCCGTTTTGTATGCTTATGATCTGAAGAGAGATTTTATTTTTGCTTTGATCATTCATTTTATTACCTGATTTAGCACTATGATATTGTTAAAACGATCAGCTTCGTCATTGAAGGCTACAGTTTTTATCTCTCCACTTAAATCGGATACTAGAGCATCAAACACCTTGCCGTTTGTTGAGAAATGTCGTAATGCACTCTTAATAATTACTTTACAATGTATGTTCAATCTAACAAAAAGGTAGGAATAGAAGGAAAAAAATATATATCATTACTGTGTAGTGTTTCGATCAATATCAGCAATATCTGTATATATATTGTTGGTCACTGGAAAAAAATGATAAATGAATGCTGAAAAAGAATTATACGATATTAAACTATTTTTCGTAGAAACTTTACTTTGAACGAGTTTTGTTGGTTCATTATTAACTTCATTGGCATTCGTATTAGATGCTGTTAATATCGATTCTGAATGAGAGATTAAAAGTTTAATTAATCAAGTATTTCCTTGTAATGATATTCATATTATAAAAAAAAAATTACCATCGTTATTTTCAGCTTCATTGGATTCATTGTTACTGTTTGTTATTGAGCTAGACGAATGTTGATCGTTTTCTTGTAGTTCAGGTGAAGCATTGATGTTATTGATTTCTGTATGTTCTGTGTTGTTATTGTTGAAATGATGTAAATATGATAAAATATCATTTGTTGTGATAATTTTGTATGACTCATCTGCAGTACCTAAATGAACATCTAATGAGTGCAATATAACAAAGTGTTCCATAAATGATATGATTATTTTATTCATATTTTATTAATAATGAATATATAATTAAACGATTATTTTTCATAATCGTAACACATGGAAATTAAATGAATAGTAATAAATATTTACCTGGTAATAATTGATTAGTTGTTAGTATATGATTTGTTCCTATACTTGTTTCAGAATCCGATGATGATACTAAAAATGATGATTCAGAAATCAAATTAATGGTAATAGAAAGTCATTCATTCTAGCCAGCTCGATTATTATTTGACTTAAAGATCGTTGTGCGTTTTTTTTTCTTCATTTGAAGGCGAAACAGATTAGAACGATAACGATATGTAGTAGATGTTTATTATGATTGAGCACCTACGCAAATAATGAAATTATGCTTATTAATCCGTAATAGAAATTAGAAATCATTGGTTCGTATGCGTAATCATAGTAGTATATATTCACTGATATATAGATCGAACTGAGATTCTACATTCTTAATTTATTTTTATATTTAGGAACGAAGCAAAATTTGCGATTAGCAATTGCATTACAGTCGTTTATAGTTACTATCAATGTCCCTACAAGTGAATTACATATTGAATAATAAAAGTCTGCAATAAACATAATTGTGATGATTATATTCCTTACACGTTATAATATAACATCTAGTGACTAAATATGACACAAAAGATAGTTTGAACTATTAATTATATTTATGAAGTATAGATATGATAGATCTTGGCTTTAATTCCAATATACGTATAAAAGAAAAGAAAATGTTTTTTTTAATTATGTTTTTATTTATGATTTAAAACAATTTATATTTATATATCACATTTCTATAGTCATTGTTAAAATTTTCGTAAAACTAAAATAATGTCAAAACATTTATATACAATAGAACTTTTAGAATTATATTGGCAATATTACTATTTAAAAAAATGATCGAATGATCTTTAACTCCCAGGTCGAACAGTCCGGCCTGGAAACGGCCGGTTTCGAGTAGTTCCGTTGATTTTGTGGAAGCAGTATTCCGGTTGGAAAATTTTTGGATTTTTTCCGGTGATTTCCGATCAATTCCTGCCGGAAAGCACTGAAACTTGGCAGGAATTCGCCGGAAAAGTCCGGCCGTATTTTTGACCGGAATACTGCTTCCATATTCCAGCGATTTCCCGTGTTTTCCTGCAGGATATGGTGACTTTCCCGCATATTCCCTGGAGTATCCTACGGGATCCGGTGGCCGGAATGTTCGACCTGGGCTTAATTCAGTTTAATACAATAATGTATTTATGATTCACTCATTATTAAATTATCTTGATATTGTATTTCATTTAATGAAATAATGTCGTTCTCTTCAGCTAAATCAACGTATTGTACAAATATATCTAAAATTAAATTCGTTCTTATGAATACATTTTATATACTGAATATACATACTGTTATTGTTTAGTGACTTGCGTATGATTGTATTATGAATATGTCGTTCGCTGCGTTGGTATCCCTAAATATATATTATAGTAGTTTTGGTGCATTTAAAAACCAAATATTGGTTAAGTATTATTGTTTCATGATATACAGTAGGTACTGTTTCTTTAAATTGTTTTTTTTTTGGGCAACATCTTACTGGATGAATTAATTTTGATGAAGCACGACAGTGGGTACTTGTAACTTACTGATTTGGTATTATTCCCACACTCGGTATACTATTGTTTGATAATGATGTTGATGATAATGATGCATTATAAGACTGTCTTCTTGTTGTTGTTGCAGAAGTTTGATATATGTTCGAGTCAGGAAATTTCATGAGAAGTTCAGTACCAATGGTACTTAATTGTGATGGAATTTGTACGCCAATTGATCGAGACACTTCAATATAATCAGATACTTGAATATTATAAATACGCAGCTTTTTTGATAATTTTTCTCGCCCATCGTCATTTGTTAGCAAAACTTTGGCATAGTATAGAATAGGTCGATGAGTATTCGTAATGATAAAATAATCTTTCAATAATTAACCTTCAGTAGCCAATGTTTCGAAAGATTTAGCCCCTGTATTTCGATCAATTTTGCTAATATCTAAAACGGATATAATAATTATGGGATTAATATATTCGTCTATAGTATTAGTTAAAGTTGTTGATTCAAAAATCATGTGTGTTGATTCAATCAGCTTGATTGAATATTTGTTAGTAGTATTTAGTCAAGACAATCAACATATTAGTGTAAACACGAATACTTTTATTTTTTATTTATTTAAATTGAGAATTTATACGGTAATGAATGCATGTGTTCTAATACTCTTGTCGATAGTGCAGCCTGATATGGCATATACGTAGTTCAGAGTTATTTTCATCTTTAAGTAGAATCTGCTGTTTTCTCAGTAATGTGAAATAGGTTTGTAGAATCAGCTCTCAAATAGTCCAGCGGTGATTGATGCTAAAGTATTAGAACCTGTTAATAATCCATATAGGAACAATATGTTGGTCGATAATAATCAAAATTTGAGTACGTCTACTATCGCTTGTGATTTGAATGAATTAATTGGCAATGCTAATACAGATTAACATTTAAAAAAAAGCTATCTACCAGGATAGGTTTTTCAATCGCATACTTTTCTTTTTATTCCGAATTGTTTTTTGTATCAAGTATTATGTTAAAAAATAATGTCATGAAAAAAGTTGTAGGTTCTAATACTTGGAGTATTCTTGTAACTTATATCAACGACTAGTTAGAAAAGTATTCTTAAAGATATAAAATAAAACTTATATTTAAACGTGTTGAAGTACTTTTTCTTGGTTAAATTTTTAGTGTTTGACTAACGTGATTACCGTTTGAAAGATACGCATAAATTTCGTACGACAAGAAGCTAGTCTGTTGTAATCGGCTAAGCTGATTAAAAAGTTAGTTGTAAAGCTTCTGTAACGTAAAAATCACTAAGATATCACGTTTAAATCAAACGAAAATGCTTTTATTGTTGCGGGCCTGTTATAATACGAATTTTGCCTGCGTTTAATTTTGTCTGTGACATATATTTTATCCCAATTATGTTTCTATCCATCTTAGGAAAATGAATCATTCTTACTGAGTAGAGCAACACTATTATTGTAATAAATATTTCTTATCCTTTGAAACACAAAATAAAATTATGATACAGAAGAACATGAATACCCTGAAAAAAGTGCTGTTTCTCTTAAATTCGGTTTTATATATCATAGTTTATTTAAAATGTATATAGACCAATCATGTAACTAATTAAAAAATTGACCATTCTGACCCATAAATCCAATATAATCATTGAGACACACAAACATTGAACTATGTTATGATCAATCAATATTGAAGGAATTTCTATCGATCTAATATTTTCCTGTCATATTTCGTCAATATCAATCAAAATACAATTGTCGTAACTAATATAGATTTTCTAGAAAGATAAATTTTTGTAACTATAGGTAAAAGCCATTTAAAAAATCTTCAGTGAAGCAAAATTTCGCATTTAATTATTAGCACAAAAGTGCCTCTCTGTATACGTGATGTAACTAAAGATTGAAAGAATTTTGAACATGATCTATATATAAATTCTAATGAAATTTTGAAATGTTAGTTAAAGTTAAACATAGGAAAGTGATTGTTTAGTGCAACGAACAGACGAACAAATTTATTGGAACCAACAAATGAATTGTGCAAGTATGAATATTTACGTGCTTCGAGCTTTCTTCCTTTTTTAAACTGAAGTTTTTATTTTTATTTTCTTGGGTATCCAAAACGTCTGTAAAAAAGTTCCTGTAGATAGAGATAAAGTGCGTGTCAAATTGTGTACGAAACCAATAATAAATCGAGTGTTTTTGTATTCAAAAATGGTGCACTTAACTCAACTAATGCATTATCATGTTTTCATGATTCTAGTAACCATGCATTAGGTCAGAGTGTTCATTTCGTTTCATGAGAAGAAACAAATATTTTTCTATTGTTACTAGAGGCGATATTACTTATTTGAATTGATTAGCACGTATAAAAATGTGTATTGAGAAAGTTTGGTGTGAAAGTTCAAAATTTTAAAATGAATTAATTCCACAGGTAATCGATATTTTTCACATTGACTAAAACATTTTTCATCAAAAGCAAGATATTGATGTAAATTCTGAAAACACATATCCAATACAATGAAATTTATCAGATTAATAAAAACATCTTAATCACAGGAAAAAGAATTAAGATACAGTAGTTGATATTAATGCTGTTCTAATATGTCGGATATCTGCTCTTTCTACAAGATCTCTATTAGCAAAAATTCTTTTCAAAAATTTAATGATGTGCAATATTCAATCTATAATTTGTGAAAAAAATAGTATTTGAAAAAGAATGTCCTTTACAAGATTTACTTTGTTTTAACAGAAAATTATGGATTTACGACTGACTTTTTTATTTGTTCTATAATATAAAATATAAAATGTATTCTGTCATTATAACAATCGAAGAAAACATTACCAGACTACTATTTTATCATCACTAACATTAGTTTTTGTTCGATTATACTAATCGATTTCATGCTATACCTTCTCTTTGTTAAATTTAATTCATGCATATCTGTTATTTCATTGATTGTTGTACGTATATGTTTGTTGGCGAGTTCTATTGAGTATGTTTACAATACAACATAATTACATCGTATAATAAAACATCGAAGTTTTATCATGTTTATATAATAGAAAGTGCTTCAGTTTAGTATGTCATGGTATTAATTATATAATCATAAGGCTAATCACATGATTTCTGAATATTAAAATTGAACTAGAATTCTTCTTTTCTTTTAGTCAAATGAAAAATCTGTATTATATTTTCACAGTCTCATGCAAATATGAATTATCATCATTTCTATATCAATTTGTTTGTAATGGGTATAGATGTTCTCTGAAATCTGGTAGCAAATCATCTTTGCCTTAGTGTTTCGATAAGATATGTACTCGAACAATTGAACGTACTGGTGATCTAATATGTTAAAACGTACGCAGCCATTATTCGTTATACAATGAATGTTTTAGTTATGAAAGAAGAACTCGAGTATTAGTTTTCTTCATTTGAATCTAATATAGAGAAAATGCTTTGAGCACTGAAAAACAAAGTTCTAAAAACTTCATGTCTACATTTCTTATGACATTATACATGACATTTATTTCAATATCAATCTAGTTGATTGGATTAGCAAATTAACTTATTGGAAGCATTATCTACCATTTGTTGTTGTTCATATATATACAAGGCTGAATATAGATGACATACAATAAACTATATATATGTATGTATTCATAGTAAATTAGAGAAAGGTTAAAAAGATGCTTCATTAATTTGTCGTACAAAGATGAAAATCATTTGTTTCCGTTTCTCTTGCCGTTCTTTCCAGCATTATTCATGTTCTTGAATATGTGAGATGCTGAAAAGTAATAAAATAAATTTTAAGTTACTGGTAATGATAAGATTTAGATTGAAAATTTCATGTTTCTTATAATTAGAATTGTTTTTCAAGACAAAAACAGTCTGTCTAATACATTAGCTATTCGTTCAGTATATTTTAAATACTAAGGTTAAACTTTTATCTCATCTGTCTATAACAAAACGATCTCAAAAAGCTGAAATCAAAAATATAATTACGATCAACTTTGAACAAAGATATATCGATGAATAATTTGCTGATATTATATGATTCCCAATCAAACATCCTGTGAACTATTTAATTGATCTAATAAATCTTCACTTTCCATCTGTTCTCATATTTATTCCGTTGTCTTGTACAGGACATATAAAACGCCCTCAATACTATGATGCACAATTGAGTCCGGACTAGTCTTCTTTTCTTTTTCTTTTTTAGAGAAAATCTATAAATGTATTTTATGCTTTTTCTCATTTTTTTGTGATTGACTACAATATTTCACTTTTTGATAATGGAACTATCAACAAGATAGAATGTAAAACAATCAGAAAAGCATACGTAGTTATTGCTTGTCAGATTATAATCGGCATAAAAAAATAACTACAAAAATGCGTTACCGTCGAGGAACATTGTTTCAATCGATACCAAATATTGATCAACATTTACCTCAAGACAAGCAACATCATTTATCAGTAAGTTATTCGATCGCCATATGTTTCTAGAGCACAAATGACAATCTATTCGACAATCTTTAATAGTAATAATAAATAAAACAGAAACTTGTTGTTTCGATATTTGTTTTCCGTTTTCAAGATTGTAATCTATTACAAGTTTCTTTATAATAGAATGAAAGATGAGTCGATCATGATTGTTAAATACTCTCATCCGACTAAGTATATACTTGTATTAGTATTCGGACAGATATATACGCACACCCACAGACAAAGAGAGAGAAGGAAAAACAAGAAGAGATACTATATAAACAGCAAAAAAGAAATACAAGACAAGAATAAACACTCTTGTCTGATACTTCATGTTAGAATAATATGGTACGATTTGGACATATCTGACTGAAATCAATCAAGTGCGCATTCATATAAGCACATGTAATAATGAGAAGTAAATTAATCAGTGCATGAGTTATGTGGGTTATAATTATGGGACGAAAGTATATGCTGTGTATGAATATTCTATGGACCCTGTAAATAAAAATCAGTCAATCAAATAGAATTTCTAAATAAACAGTAATATCAATTATGAATAATATCTGCAAATGTGAATGAGACCTCTTTACTAATATCTAATCGATACTTTTCCTATTTTTGTACTAATGATGACCTTATGAAAAAAAGGACAAACAGGGAGAAGAAATCATATATTATTCGATACAATGGATATATTATTAGTATGATAGTATCGGCAGACATATTTTCATCGACGCTGTTAGTATAAGCAAAAACAAAAGCATTTGATAACGCTAGTAATACGACCTGCTCTACATGGATATTTCACGATTGTAAAAACTATTACAAAAATTTAACTAGTCTTATTCCATGGCTACATGGCTAGAACAATGTCAAAACTTCGTTCGCGTTATAAGAATGCCAAAGTAAGCCATTTTCTGACTAATCAATATGATGTAACCCATTTCTTATTATCTCCTTTGATTGGACATGAATGTTTAGTATCTATTTTTCTTGCTCTTTTCTATGGATATTATTCTGATATTATTTGATGTAGCTAATGTACATTGAACATTGTCAACTTGTATTGATAAAAACAAATCAAAACAATATAGATATATTTTGAATTTGCTTATTCTAGTGGATTATGTCCGAATTTGTCGCTATCACAGCAGCGGCGGCAGCTCGAATAATATTTGCTATTCATGGCATTGCAGCTATTTGGCGAGTAGCATTAGTATATAAACAAAACAAATATTGGTTTCAAGCTATTACGTGAGAAATAAATTTTAAAGTTTCACTTTCTTTTTTTTTATCGCTTCTATCTCTATAGTCTTTTTGGTATCCCAGCTGAATTTTTTGTGACACTCTATGTTAATAATGGTCATGAATGGAAATGGTAGTGATCAATTAAATATATGTTTCTGAAAAAAAACTCATTTATTCTTGTATTGTTAATTGTAGGTTTTGTCCATCTGTATTCTTTTATCTATGTACAGTTATACCGAGTGTATGGTTTCTAGAACTTGATCTAGCTCAACGAAGATCACAATTTAATGTAACACAAGCACTGGGCTTCGTACCTGTACCACAAGGAATTACACATCTTGATAATGAAGACACATTACCAGTAATAAACTAAAGAAATCATTACCATTTTATCTTCTTCTTTTGTTATGAACATTTGTCAATTTTCTAAAATAGCTTGTTCCGTGGAAAATTCCAGCTGAAATGTGGACACAGATTGTTGAACAAACGCTTCTTCTTGTTCTTATTATTGGACGTTGGTTATTACCTGTTGGGAAAACGATGACACGTGATCAACTTTCTCAATTATTACTCGTTTATATTGGTACAGCGGGTAGGATTATTTTTAATGGTCTTGTTTAGTTTTATTTTATTTTATTTTATTTTATTTTATTTTTCTCTAGCGGATATTATTGAATTATTTGAAGCGTTTAAAGAAATTGATGTACAACGAAATTTAACTATAATTCATCTTATTTTAGCAGCTTGGTCAATAAGTTTAATGCAATTTACGCTTGTTGTTACGTCAACAAAATCACGAAAAACCCGTACGGAAGCTTCTAAAGCAAACGATGAATGTATCAGTTGTCGATTGTTTTGGGAAACTGAGCTATGGGTAAAAAAATTTTCTTTGGTGTTTTTTGTCAAAAACAAAATAGACTAAATAATTTTCCTATTAGGCTCTTTCAACTACAATTCTTTTGCAAGACGGTCCATTTCTTTGTCTTCGTCTTGGCTTGATAATTCACTATAAAATCATTTCACAGTCGAATATATTTTTTACAACAAAAAATTTTCTTGTTGTCCTATTACAACTATATCGAGTTTGTGTTATTATAATGGAACATCGAAAACGACATAAATTATCATGTTTAAATGAAACTAATTCAATGCAACAAAAACCGAACCATTTTTCTGTTACACAACGAAAATCTATTTTAGGACATAAACGACGGTCTGGCTCAATATTAACATCATCAAGGGGTAGTTTAAATTCACATTCAAACTCAATTGGAAATTTTCGTCCTATGAGTACCAATGATGATCCTATTAGTTTAGATGGACGTTCAGGTCCATTACCAAGGTATCATCGTTTACCTAAATCGACTCTAAATCCATCATCACTTCCAAAAGCAAGATCAACACGACCGCATTCCAGATCATTGACAACTGTAGAACACCCACATATTAGTATGCCTAGTCATAACATATGTACAGAAGTGTAAAACAATACGTTCACATGTTTTTCTCTTTTAAAACCTTGGCCTGTAAAGCCTTTTTTTTCTCGTTTTTCTTTTTCTTTTTTGTTGTTTTACTTGCTCGATATAGTACATACACATATATATGATTATGTATACGGATGACGATCGATTAAGATCGGCATGAGTCTCAAGTGAGTACATTGACTCAGCCAAGTAAGAACTAATCTTCTCTGAGTGGTAGTTACGTAGTGATATATACAAACGCACACACACACACATATATATACGTATATACGTATATGCATGAGTATAAGTTGAACAGAAGTAAGAAGAAATTCATCTTACGATTGCATAGGATAATGGTAAAGAAAAGAGAGAAAGAGAAAGCATATAATCGACTAAATAAAAAGAATGTCACATATAATCATGTATACGATGCGTGTACAAATGTTGTAGTCAATATCGATTTTCAAAATTTATATCCTACAACTATTTGTTCTGCCCAACGATTAAATGATTCGTTTACAGTTGAGTTCAATTTTATTTCAATACTAATTTGATTGAGTACTATTTTATTTCTTTTGGATTAAAGTACAAATACAACGACATATATAAATCTAAAGTCTTAAAATAGAAACAACCAAAATTCCTACAAAGTAAATATCAAATAAAAAAATATATATCAAGGTTTGTTATTTTACTTTTCATTTTAGATTAACTGTGTTCTTATTGATTATGCAGCAGGTTGTTTCAAGCAATGTCGACTTCAAATAATGATAATGGATTATTTAACGGCCAATTTAATCCTCAAATATTCGCTGCTATAATAGTTCCAGCTATATTTTTACTTATAATTATCTTAACAATGCTCGTCTTTATTTTATATCGTCAACCATCAGATTATAATAGTTATATAATTGAAAATGAACATGAACATGGAAATGGTGACAATAACAAATCTGGTTGTAAATTTGAAATATTGTCGCGAACACCAAATAATTACGCATAGAATTTTCTTTTCTATCTTTCATGTGTTATAACTTTGATTTCCGCTTTTAATTGCATTTTACTTACAGTAAAAGAAGAACAAAAAAGAAAACCTGAAATATATTGTATATGTCCGCCTCTGTCAATACTTAAATTGCTGTGTACATTCACACATGTATGCTTTTAATGGCATTTTTTACTCTCATTGAATTGTCTAACACTTTCTTTTTTCGACAGATCGATCAATCAAAATTCTCTGATCGAACAAAATTTTTTTTGAAACAGTAAAAACAATAGTTACACGTTAAAAGAAATGTCATTTAACATAAATCATAAAGAAAGACTGGTGATAATTGAAAAAATAATCATACTGTTGTTTATTGCTTGTTGGCAGGAACTACTGAAGAGAAAAAGAAGTGCATGTCGACAGACACAATATTTCGACATTTGGGCAGACTTAATGATTCTCATACAAGTATTGGACCGGGCAAGACACGTGAAGAATATTTGAAATTATTTTCCCGGTAAATAATGAATTATTCGAATTTTCTTTTCTTCTTCTTCTTCTTCTTTTGCTATTTCATTTTCACACATAATCAGAGGCAACCTTACATTTGCATAATCAAAATAATATATCTAGAGCAAGCTATTCAACACAGAACGAGTGGCCTTATTCGAGTCCATTTGCTGGCTTCTATGATGTATCAAACACAAGTACAGGTTTAATTCTAGTTAATCAACGACATAAATATGTATGTAACAATAAAAATAAAGATTATGGCAGTTCTCTATGATTGATTTTATTAATTCATTTAATCCTTAGTCGCATTTACGTGGGAAAATTTTACCTAAAGAAACTAAGTGCCCATCTGACGACGATTATAAAACATTGTACGAAGCTATTGTTGAAGCTGAACAAGAACCGAAAGCAAAACACTCACAGTTTGTTAATAATTATAAATAAATATTGATCTAAAAAAAATGCAAAAAAAAAAATCTTCTTACAGTAATACTCTTCTGCCAAGAACACCGGTTGATCCTTATCGACATTTTGAAAGTATGCTCTTGACTATCATTCGATCTTGTTTGTTGTTGGTCTTCTTTTTTCTTCTCTTTTTACACTATTCAGGGTCAAAACAAATATTGGCATAATCGTATGTGCAAAGGTTCATTTTCAGTTGACAATAGCGCAGAGTATTCGCCTGCTGAAATAAATATGACGCTACGATCACGTTAGTATCAGTTTGCTTCATATAAAGTATTCAACTCCTATGGTATAAAGGTCGACCGCAGACAGCTGGCCCAATACGAACTCAACGAAATCGTTCATTATCAATTCCACGTCGTTCTCATTCAGTAGCAGGGACTACTGATAGACTTATTAGTGAAACTAAAACGGATCCAACATTTGCTGAGTCACTTTTGCAATTTTATCGTTATGTATTAGAAAAATCTCAAAGGCGTAAACTTGGCTTACAACAATATCATAATAAAGAACCGTCAAATAGACGTTTAAGACAAAGTGGAATCTATCGTAATCCATCATTGACACATGGTCAAAAATTATATTTACTAGAAAAATGTCATGTAAATGAAATCGAACAAAAATATGATATTTTTATTTTTTGTTTGTAAAAATTCTAGATTTATGACGTCGAAGATTCAAGAGCACGTCATAAGAATGCTTACGTACAAGTTTTAACTAGACGTTTCAATTCAGGTATTTAGCTAGATTATTTTTATTTCATTTATCTGAATCCATAGAATACCATAGATTTGCCTGCTTATAAACTTGGTAAGAATGAGAATTTCTCTCAAGCACCAGTTTTTTCGCTCTTGATTTGTGTTCTTTTTTTTTGTTATACACCATACAGTTCTTGTTGTGTGATTCTTTATTGTAGATTTACACTGCAAGCCTGAATTTCGTACGTAAACTAATAAATGCAACAACAAATCATATTTAGAAAACAAAAAAGAAATTTTGAATGCTAGTTTATTTAATCTTTTTCCTATTGTTTAGGTTTAAATGATCCAAGAGATTATTTTAAATATGCAAAGTTTTTAAAAACGACACTTCCAACTGTTCGTCCGTTGAATACAGGTTATTTCACTTCCAAAAAACCTCATCAACCTCGTTTACCCCGTGATTACAAAAAAGAACCAATAAACATTGAGTAATAAAATTTTTATTTTATTGAAATGAATATAAAAAGATTGATTATTTAATTATTTAGCTCAAATAGTTTTCTTGATAGAAAAGATTTCATAACTAGATCAAATGGATTATTTACGAATCAGAAATCATCTAAAACTAATAGTTCTAACTCATCTCGACGTATTAGTACATCATCGCTTTCAACAAACCACACAAATAATATGTCTACTCGTCTTGATAAGGAACCAAAACAGATTCCAAAAATTCCGGTTTTATCGCGACAATTACATGATTGACGAAACAAGAACAAACACGTTTTTTTTTCTCAAGATTTTATTCTCAACTAGAAACAACATTTCGATTCATATTGTTGATTCTTTTTAATCATAAGTAAAGATGAAGAGCTCTGTAACAATAAATTGAAAAACAGTGCACGCTTCTTAATAATTTTGACAGGTATAAAGAATCTTTAGTAATGTCTTAGATTTACTTAAGTTCCTATTTTTATTTAAAATATTCATCAATACTTTTCTTTCGAACTAGTGTTTATCTTTAAAAAAACCTTCCTCGATATAATTTACAGAAGAAAAACATCAATGAGCTCAGAAACCTTTCGAGGGGGTAATTTAATAATGCGATACTTGAGAATATTTTTAAAAAATCTTGTAAATCTCTCAATAAAATTTATCAACGACGTATCAATCATCACGAGTATACGAAATTGAAAACTTTTTGAACTTCAGCTATGATATGTTTAGCATTTGAAAGAAACCTTTCCCTATGAAACAACATCGAAAAGAAAACTAATGCTTGCCATACTATTTTCAGGTCATCCTCGAATTCGACTGTCGAAGAACGTCCTGTAGATTTGATCTATATTGTAAATCTGATTGATTCTTAGCATCTTAATAGTGTCCGAATATAGCTCACAACAAAATAAACTTATTTCAAATTAGTTCCATTTCATACTGATACTTTCTCAGCATATCTGTCAACATAAACGTCGTAAATATCAGAAATAATGGCGTCAACAGGTTTTTCTAATGGGAATTATGACATTTTCTCTACGTATATTCATTATTTTTCGTATGTTGATATGCAAAATTCATATTAGCATAGATGTATTTTTGATTAATGAGACTACTAACATACCATTATAGGTAAAAATTGGATTCGAGACCAGTTTATTCTGGTATGGAACTAGTGCAGAAACAACTAAGAAAGAATGAACCAATCAGAGATTTAGCTATTTAAATCACAGATAATTTTCTAATTATTTCAACGTTAATTTTTCGACGTTTGATTTGCTTGACTCTTGGGATTTTCTTATTTCAACGCATAAATTTAAATTGAAAGGGCTAGGGGTCAATTAGAAAATATCGAACGAAAACAGAATGTTACCAGATACAAGATTTCATTTTAACACAATTTGCTGATAATGTTAAAAATAATAGTTAGACACACCGTAAAAACTATATAGTTTATTTATAGAACAATACTCTTTATTTTATTAGTATTATTCCCAATAAAGCTTGAATCTACTGAACATTTTTCAGGCCTTAAATTCTGAAAAATTCACACGAGAGTACAAATATTAGAGTTAGATTGAATAAACTGCTATAAAAAGAAATTCAAGGACCTATTTTGTAAATTTTCTAGTAAATCATTCTGGAATCGATAGACCTTGGTTATGAGAACGTATACGAAAGAAAATTCATTTCAAGCAAGCTCTGAATATTTAAATTTATCGTATCAACTTGGTCGCATCTTCAGAGAGAAACGTTGCCTATCTAGCGTCGATAAAATTTTTTGATCATTCATCGCTTGATTGATTTCATTGATTTTATCATCCATACCTCTTGCGTTACTTTCGCTAGACTCTAAGAACTAAGATAACTAGAACAAACGAAAACGAAAAAAAAAGAACACATTGCTTCGATAGTATTTTTGTACGATATCTGAGTCAGATATCTACACAATAATAATTTCCGAAAGGAATATCAGCTGTATTTGAAGAATTGTAGAAAGATAAACAAAAGAAAAGAGTGTCAATCAATGTCACATGGACATTTACTCCTTGAAGAGCACACTGATAATAACGAATAGTATAAATATAGATTGTTAGCTAAGAAAGCAATACGAAAAAAAATGCCAAACTTTGTAGCACAAGTAACGCACAAAAAACTAGTCGAGGTCTGTTATGGAATGAATAGAAAAAGAGAAAAAAAAACGAATTATATTTTGAAATTTGATATAAGCATTTTGTTCTTTATTTGTTCTATGAATTTTGTGTTTTATTTATTATGATTCGAGCTTGCTAATCATCTTTTACTTCAGATACAAGTATTGTCGGCATGACACGCATTCGTTTTAAACGTTGTTTAACATCAATAAGAATGACAAATGGACAGAGAAGTAATAAACTACCAAATACATATGTTGGCTTTTCGCCAATCGACCAATACGCTATAAATAATAGTCTAATTGTAGAACAAAAATCAACAAAGAAACAAGAAAGGACATTACCGAATGATGCAATCAATGGTCCGATACCTCGAGCAAGTGCTTGTAAACTTCTAAATGTACCCAAAATAGTGCCTTTTTCACTTTCTAAACCATATTTCGATGCAAAACTATTGATAACATTAACTACAATACTTGAAGCTGGATAATTTCAAAATAAGACAAAGAAAACCAAACAGTATATTTATATATATTCAAAGATGTTTTTATCAAAATATGTTACCAATTGAGAAAAGTACCAAACCAATCCATAAAAATGTTTTGGATTCAGCCAAAGCCAATAAAATAAATGAAGGAATCAAGATTAAAATTCCCTAGAGAAATAAAAAGAAAGTTAAAATCGCTTAAACTATCAAAAAAAAGCACTAACTATGATGGAGCTTTATGACGAAAACAGATAAACAATCTAGCTATAGACATATGATCACTAACTGACATAATATTCATAGCTCAAATAACAAGCAACCAACTGATCTATTCTCAATCACCGAAAGAATGCATAGGAAAAAATGAAGATAGTAACCTATTACCTCAGTTCTTCTCTTGTCTCGTGCATTTTTTTCGTGCAGTATGAAGCAATGTAGGAGAAAAAAAAATAAGAGAGAGAGAGAGAAAGAGAAAGAGAACGATTCATCCTCCTATTTATTTGTTTCGTTCCTTTAGTAGTCGTCTTTCTTTTTTGTGAGAAATAATAACCGTATAGTGATAAAAAAAAAGAAAAGAAAAAACGAATGCCACTATCCTTTCATTTCATTTTTCATATCAATGTGAATATGATCCACATTATCATGGAAAAACTTCGTCTAAATCCTATTTTGGTATCTTTTATCTTTTTATTCTTTTGTTTAACAACTATTGATTCATATCCATGCCCGTCTGAATGTATTTGTCAACCGACTGACATGACTGACGATGATTTTACACGAATGAGCTATAATATTGATTGTACAAATGTAACATTCAAAGGTAATCAAGTTATTTATAATGCTCTTTCATGGTCAATAATTGAAGATAAAACTACTGATGATGATGATGATGATGATGGCATAAACAATGATTATGCTATATCAATTGATCTATCTGATTCATCATTATTAAAACAATTTAATAATCAAGCAATACAGTTAACTGGATTTTCTTTTTCACTCAAAAGTCTTTCATTAACGAGTCAATCAAAAAATCTTAAGATTGAATCTAATGCATTCAATTCATCTTTATACCAAGATTTAAAAATACTCAATTTATCGTCATGCTGTCAACAATTACCATTTGAATGTCCACAACTTTTTCGTCCACTTAACAAACTGCAAGTACTTGATTTAAGCGGGTCAGATATGTATAAGAGTTGTCTTAATACACCAGGTAGGCTATCTTATTATAATCAGTACATAAATCAGAAATTGAAGTACTTCAATTTTTGAAATTCATAGATTAGGAACAATGAACCCTAAATCAAGGATTGTTTGCGATAAAAATAAAAAACAAAAGATCCAAGATTGAGTATGACTCAGAAAAATCGAAAACAAAAATTAATTAATAAAAATTTGACATGCTCTTGATTGTTCTCTAAAGTTAGTTGTCTATATCATGACAGGAGCCAATAGATTATATTGATTTATTTTAGTGTAATGCAGAAAATATTATGCATTCAAATTTATCGCTAATCATTTCCTTTTATAATCAATCAATAACTAAAACGAAAGACAAATATATACGTATACTACAAATGTTTTTCAAGAAACATTGTTTAAAACACCTTTTTATTTTACTATATGCACGTCACGAACGTGACTGTATTTATTATAATGTTACATCCCACCATCGTCGGTTTAAATGTGTAGTCTACAGTAGAAAATATCCGCAATCACAACTTGAGCAAATTTTTCTTTGTGTTGTTTTTATCAATAGTGCAGAAAGCTTGACGAGATATTTGTTTATAGCAATGCTATTGATGATACGTTTACGACATGTTTTCGTAAAGCAACATAGAAAATTACGTTTGAAACAATCAGAAAAATCCTGCAAAAGCTGGAATCCCCAAAGGATTAAGTCTCAATAGTCTAAATATTTAACCGAATTGGTTTTGATTGCATTCGTTACATAGTGAGGAAAAAGTCATGCAGGTTTTTCGAGAACTATTATTTTACTATCAACACGTTCGATTTATTTAAAATGATAACGAACAGTTAGATACCAGAAGAAACATGAATTTTACATTCAATTGAAACAAACAATTTCTATGATTATATGTCTTGAATGGAGAAATCTAGCATATAAAAGGTTCTACAAAAAACAAACTGATGCTTTCTAGTAGGAAAAGATTTAAAAAACAAAGATTTTCATTTAGATACGATCTCATCAAAATTAAGCGACCTTATCTTACGTAATAATTTGTATGATACAAATACATTTTCACACTCAAGCCGATTGTTCGATGGTGTACATACAATAACCGGCAAACTTGATTTACAATATTCACGTTTTAATATGAGTCGATTATTAGAAGGAAATTGTCTATTTGATATATTTAATTCTATAACAACGTTAGATTTATCATTTTTACAATTTAATTCATTATCAACTAAAACAGAAGATTATTTAGTTCATTTACTCAAGTGTAAATCTCAACCTAAAAATATTCGTCATGGAGAACAACTAATTAATTTATATTTACGTCAAATAAATCTTGAATATTTACCCGAATGGTTTACTAATGATCGTTTTCCACTATTGAATCAACTTGATTTATCATATAATAATATTTATACAGTCGATTTTCGAAACTTTAAAGTGTTAAAATCAGTATCATTAGCCAACAATCCAATTGAAATCGAAAAAATACTTTTTCGTTCAAATTACATCTATGAATCAATTAATTTACGCTCTACAATTCAAAATCGAACATACGATTTACAAGCTCGACTAGAATACTTATTTAAATTGACAACAGATGTTGACTTTAGTGAAAACTATGGAGTTATACCAAGTAATATAACAAAATTTCCTATTGACATTGATTTTTCGAAGGAATTATCATTGAATATATCTCAAACAAATATTTATTCATTTAACATTCAAGATATATCAAAATTTGATGATTTAAATCGTTTAAATATAAGTTTAAATAATTTAACTGAACTTAATTTAGAAAAACAATCAAAATTATCTTATTTAGATTGTTCAAATCAATATTTAAAAACTTTAATATTAAATAAGGATTATTCAAATTTAATTGATTTAAAATGTTCGAATAATTCATTGAAAGCAATTGAAAATTTTTCTTTTTTAAATCATAAAAAATTAAAATCTATTGATTTATCATTTAATTTGATAGAATCATTAGAGAATCTTCTTTCGAATTTAAATAGTCAATATTTACATACAATTAATTTAAAATCAAATTCAATCAAACAAATATCATCAAATATATTTCACAGCAAACTAGTAAGTCTTTCAATGCTTGATTTATCATCGAATAAAATTAATATTATAAAAAAATATTCATTTCAATCACCGAATTTACAAATTCTTGACTTATCAAATAATCCATTGAAATTTGTTGACTCAAAATTTTTAGTTACACCATCATTACATTTATTTTATATTATTAATAATGCACAACAATTAATTGATCGTTGTGCACAATCATCCCCAAATGATAATCTATTGTTAACGTATATAACATGGTTTGAACAAAATGGTACTTATATGAAAAATACACAACCAGAAAGAAGTAAACAAATACAACTTGATAAATGTTTACGTCGTTATACATCAAGAAGTAAAGTTAAATGGGTTAAAGTTAATGAAAATTATGATTTAAAACATTTATCTTTATATATAACAATGGCTGCAATTACAATTGGAATTATGCTTGGTATTATTTATTTATATAAAAATACGAAAATCAACGTTTTAACAAATTTTCAACGTTATAGACCATTAGATGGACATAGTTTAGTAGAAAATACAGACGATATTAGTCATCACGAACATGAAGATGATGAAATTATTATGAATCTTACTGAAGTACCATTTAACATAAATAATCGATGCTGAACTATGACTTAATTTGCTGCATTTCTTTTTTTGTTTTCTTTTTTCAGAAATAAAGATAAAACGTGTTTAAATCCATCACCTTACTGATAGTCTTCGATAGAACTTAACGCGAAAACAAATAACTATTGATTGGAAATCATACATAAAGAATATACAGGTTTTAAGATTGGAACTTAGTGGAAAAGGCTAGGGATGTGCAGTGTCGGTGCACCGACCACCGATTTGTACCGACGGCGTGTCCAGTGGAGCATCGACTGCACCGACACTGTTCTCCAGTGGAGCACTGACTACACCGACAGTGTACATAGTGGAACACCGACCACACTGTCACCGGTGTCACTGAAACACTGGTACACCGATATCTTTTTGATTGACCAAAGACTTCAGTCAATCAAAACTTGTCGGTTTGTCAGTGTTTCAGTGATCATCAGTGTATGAGTGATCATCCATGCTTCAGTGAAGTCGGTGTCAGTGACACTGATTACAGTGTGACTGGTGTTCCACTGTGCACGCCGTTAGTGTAGTCAGTTATCAGTTTTTCAGTATTTATACCGACACTGCACATCCCTAGAAAATGCCTAGTTCTTCAATCAAGTATAACTCTTCTTTTAAATTAAATAAATATATCAAAAATAAAATACATCGAGAAAAAAATTTATCGATTAGAAAACTCAAATGTTTACTTTTAAATTTTATTTACATATACTCTAATTCTATGAATTCTAATAGAAATGATACTAAACAAAGTAACAACATTGATATCGATGCATCAGAAAATGACTGTCGACACTTGTGTAAAATAAATTTCAATTAATTCAATGCAATGCTCCTCTTCAAATGATTCATTTTCTCTGGGCGTCCTCTATGAATAGTCCTCTAATAATTCTCAAAGTCAGATAACTAGTGTATCACTTCTTTTTTCTTATTACTGAACAAAGTTGATTGTTTAACTTATTCGAATCTCATAAGAAATATGTATGGTACTGAATCAATTTTATTTTAATTCAATTAATTCATTGGATACACATAGTTTTATTCATATACTCTGTAACGGTTCTATCTATTGGTATAGATGAATTTTTAATTTTAGAATTGTGATATATCATTCGTACAATCATGATGAAATTTTCATAGTAAAACACGTAGAAATTTTTAAAACGCGTGCGTTTTTAACAGTTTATCCCATAGCAGAAGTGAAACTATTTTTCGGAATGCATATGTGATATTATATTAGATTACAAACACAGTTAGATAAATTTATGATATGCAAAAACAAAGGCTAACTTGATAAGTAAAGAACAGTTTTGATAATATGATACTTTAAGTTGCAATCTATAGAGATGTTTCTTATCGTTTCTCAACGGAATAGAAAGTTTTCCTTGCATACTATTGCAAAGAAAATATTGTATCATATTCGCGAAAAAAAAAGTATATTTTTCTTACTTAACAGTATTCAAATTGAAATGTATATCTAATTATTGTTTAAGCGCAACCAAATCAAACTTTACATTGTGTCAAAAGATTGTTGTTATACTAATTCATTTTTATGAATAGTGACGGAAGTAATACGTCAAATCAGCGGTGGTGTGAATCTATCCTATCTTGTCTGATGCTTATGAGATCAAAGTGTTATCTTAAAAAAAAGAAAAATATTGACTTCTTCATCTTTCATGTCAATCTTCTACTCATTAGAAAGATCAATTATCGAAAGCAGCAATCCTAAACGAAATATCTCTATCGTATATCTAATAGGAATAGAGAAATAAATCGAACGAAGAATCAATATACTACTTACACTTGTAGCTGCCGTTATTTCTTTTCCATGTGGTATTCGTCTTACATAGCCACCTTGTACTAGAGCCATACATAAACCCATGATAAAAAACATTTTGCCTTGTTGCATACTATTTAATTAGCAATTGAATGAAATTTCTTGAAAATAAAAATCATTCATTTTTTTACCTATTCCAATTAAATCGATTGTAAACAAGAAAAGTAATTGTAAATTCGAGACCAGCGAATACAATCATATATAAAAAACTTGCTAAACCTAATCTACGTAGAATCGTTATATCTAAACAAATACATTTCTAATTGTTATCATAAGTATCGCAAAATTTACATACCATCCACAGATTTGACATTATGAATAGCAGTAAATCTAAACAAATGCCAAGGTAAAATTGTATTATAAATGTCTGTTATCGTTGTTTTTTTAGACACCTAAGCATTCAACAAGAAAACTAGAATAGAATGTTTAAATCATGTTGTTGTTACTCGTTTGGATACTGGCAATGTTTCTGGACAATATTGAGTAACAAAAGCAATGTTAATAAATGATAATACAAGTGAGACAACAGCAGGAAAAATAAAAAATATCACTGTTGATTTTGGCCAATAAACAATACCCAAATGGCTACATATAGCACCAAGTAATGGTCCAAAAATAAAGCCAAGTGAAAAAGCTGCACCGATCCATGCCTAATGAAAAAAAATAATGCATAGAATAGAAAAACATCTCGACTACATTGTTTAAAATTAAGATAGAAGAACGCTAACAAAAACATAATCTAGTAGATCAAACATCCTTCAAGATTATTCATGTTTTTATTCAATTTTTTTGTGAACTAATATTTACCATTGCTCGATTTCGTTCATTTTCTGTCGTAGAATCTGAAACAATAGCTAAAATAATAGCAACATTTGCTTTTGAAAGTCCGCCAATGACTCGTGCTAACATAAAAATTGTTAAATTATATGAAACACACCATATTGCATATGACAGTGATATGCCAATCTAAATATTGAAAAAATTAACAGAACACAAAGTAAGAATAGAAAAATATCAAAAATGATTAGATTCCAATACCATGGAAAGAAGAAGCACTGGTCTTCGACCATATCGATCCGATGCAGCACCACATAATGTTGATGAAAAAAATTGTAGAAAAGAAAAGAGTGAGCCAATTATTCCTATTAAAAATATTCATTAAAAATATTCAATATATATTTTCTTCTTATAACCTCCAAATAAAACAGAATTCCATTTAGCATCATTTGGTGCTCCAGTTAGATCACGAATAAATTGAACAAATGATATTGTTTTTACATAAACTGTATCCTGTGTATATATATATATATATATAAACGCAAATAGTTTGTAATAAGCATAAGAAAAAAAAAACATTTTTTAAATTCTTACGTGGCTAATGTCAGTTCCACTTCCATAATAAGTTAATATTTTTGGTAACAATGGTAAAATAATTGTAAATTCCAAAAAATCAATAAGAATCGAAATAAATAATATTCCGATTATATTCGGTGCAATTTTCATGATATTGTTAATGCTGCTATGTTAAGTTACTTCAGTAGTATTGAACAACTACTTTTTTTCTGCAAATACAGTCAATTACGATCTCATTCTATCTAGTAGAAAAATACACACATATATGTATACATATGAAAATACATGAGTCTATTTAAAAGCATTTTCTGCTTTTTTTCTCTCACTTCTTGAATTATGTCTTTCAAAAAGTATCATCTATGACCGTCTGCATACTCTCATCAACATTTGCTTCTGCGCGACTGCGCAACGAGCAAAATAAGAGAATACACCATTGGATTAAGAACGCAAAAAAAGAAAGAAAAAGAAGATACAACAAAGAGCAGTAATCAACAGTGATAAGCAAAACGATGCGTACTGCTCGACCGGTGGCAACATCGACAGTATAAACACATCTATAAGCATAAAAGATAATGGTGCTCGTTTCCCTAAATGGCTGCATTGATTTTTGTTAATTGCATGTTTGTGCTTGTCTATTAACACGTAAGTTTATATCGAAAAAAACGAATGGTATTTCCTTTTATTAATTAATTTTCATTCCGATGTAAAAATTCAAAAAACAAAAATGTATCATATAAAAATATAAATGATGTATATAAAATATCACCGTATGTAAGACATTAACATGAGAAAATTTCAAAATCATCGACTCTTTGTTGTTAATTACTCTTATTCATTTCCAGGACAACTAGTTGTAGCATTCGTCGCAGTTACGTGCATTTGCTCCATAAGTATTTGAATAGCATTTTGTCGAGCATCTATGTAGCGTTGCCGTCGAAGCTCTTTATACCTTTCGATACGTTCATTTTCTAGTGTTGGATCAGTCAATGTATTATCCCAACGAAGAGAAGCAATATTAGCTGGTGTTAACTTATTTAAATCACATCGATTTGCTAAAAAAAAAAGAATTGACAAATATGTTGATTAGTAAAAGTACATGAACAATCTACAAACAATTAAGAGCATTTTTAATGCCACTAGATGATTGACCATTAGCTTCATTTCCATCTAAAAGTCTTGTTTTCGATGGTAATTTTCGATTAGGTCGTCTTTTTTTATTTGAACGTTTCTTTTTAGTTGAATTCTGCGTATTAAGCAATTCCGTACTACTTCCATCAAGTGGCATGTTTTTTTCTTCTAATTTACACACAGTTAAATCATAAATCTAGAAGAAATATTTAAAAAAAAAGATAATCAGAGAAAGTTAATTTCTTCTTTTAATTCAATTTAGAATCACAATAACAAATTCATTTTCTTTTTCTCGCTAAACTTTCACAAAAATCAAAAATACATAGTTTTTGTTAAAGTCATGCCAATTTACTACTTTGAAATTTTGGACGCCATAAATTTGATGCGATTTTTCTATACGAAATATTTTCGAGCATGTTGCACCGCATTGAATAATAAGTCATGAGCTTAAAAAAAAGAGAAAGAAAAACAAATATATTCGATTAAAAATATAATGAAAAAGTATGTCAACAGACTTTGTTCAATGAACTCGAGATATTCTTCAGAATAATAATCATTTTCTTCGATATAAAAATGAAATGAATTTGTACATCGTTCAGTTATTGTTTGAAATCTAAATCTCTTTTTTTTTTTACAGAACAAAAGAAACATTTAAGAAAAGAAAATATGATCGAATAACCAGGACAAATTTTCTGTTGATTTAAATGAACAGATCGAGGAGACGTGAAATACATTCTCTTGTTGCCCAATTTCCCATAAAATAAATAAACGTTTATAGACGTGTGTCATTCTCACTTTTTTTTCTTAAAAAGTTTTTGAATAATGATCTTATATGAAAGAACGAAAAAAAAACACCATACCATAAGATTGTAGAATAGTCATGCGTACAAAAAAATCGGAGAGTGACAAACCGGGACATAGAAAGAAGAAAACCATGTTGAAGAAAAACCAAGAAGATGAAGAAGAAGACAGACATATCCGACCGATCAAGAGACAGAGAAAGAGACCAAAACGTATTGCGTCATCTTGCAGAAGAAACAATAATTTAAAAAAAAAACAGTAAAACATTGTTTTTTTCCTTCTGTTTAACATCTCATATCATTCAGCTTTGCATATTACACTGAAGAAAACATGTACGATGAAACAACAATAATAAGTAAATAAATAAGACAATTTCGTATGAAGCATTTACAATCGTTTGGTACAAAGACAGGTGCTAATATATTTGTTATACGGTGTAATTCATGACAGCAACATATAAATATAAATGTTGTTATTATTAAATTTAATGTTGGCATACGCGGTATAATTGTTAAAGTACCATGACCATTAGCAACAAGCCATATATGATATTGTGTTACAAATAATTCTAATGATATATTACCAAACCATGAAAAAAATGGGGAATAGTATTGACGAAGAAATGTTGGAATATTTCGTAGAAGAATATAACTAATAATCTGACAGAAAAAGAAATAATAATAAGACAAGAAAGAAAAATATATTAACTGTTATATAATTAACTTACGGGTAATATAACAATGTATGGATGTATTTCATCACATATTGCTTTATTTGAACATAAAAATAAAACAATAAAATAAATAACTAAGACCAATAAACTGAGTAAACAAAATATTGTCTTTATTCTTGATGTTATTTGTTGGTATTGTTTACGTTTGATACCTAATGTTTTACATGCAGCATAATTTTCAATAGATAATATTAAAAAAGCAAAACACATTCCATATAAAACTGTATAACGATCTAAATTCCAACGATGATACCAATCATTTATTGTACCATTACGATCATAATATATATGTGTTGAAGAATTCATATTATAACGATGAAGATTTGAATATAAATATTGTTTATCATTTAATGATATACCATTCATTGACACAGGTCCAACAATGCCTTGTCCACTACCTGATATATAATCAAGTAGAGTATTATATTCATTATAATATAAGGAATTTTTATCATGGATTAATAGTGAATGCAATTGATGAAAACCATTATGTGATAGATCAGATTGATCCAATTGTTGAACATAAGCAGCAAGTGATGATGTTATTGTGGAAGTTGTAAATAGATTATTCCATAAGCGAAATGTAAAAATTTTTTCGAATAAATATGCAGACATACTTAGAGTTGTTACAAGAATCCCTAAATAATAAAATATATATACTTAAATTATTTTCAAGGTCCTCCTTTTCAGTTTCTATGCTACTCATCACTACTAATCTATGAGGCTGTTGGCAGTTAATCAATCAATTCTTTATCTATCTATTAAGTCCGTACTAATAATTATCTAATTTGTTAGATTGCATATGAAAAGAATATTTCCATGAGAGAAATTATCATATTCACTCTTTATGATTGATTATAGCAGTTGATTTTTATTCATACTCTTACGCTAGAGAAAGAATTTTTCCAATCCATAATTCTAATTAACTATAGATAAGATTCATCTAATAATAGAACCAGAGCTAGGACGAGTACAAGTACAGCAAGTAAAAATATTTTAATTGTACTTACAAAAATGTATTTGTACTTTTACTTGTCGTTTCACAAGTGTTCTTGCTCCTGCACTTGTACTTGCCTTTCAAGTAAAGCATTTGGTGCTTATACTTCTACTGTAGGAAAAGTACTTGATAGTTATATTGGGTGAGTATTAATGAATGGAACATATGAGTACGAGGTACTCTTCCATAAGTACAAGTATTTATACTTGTACTTTCGCCCGAGCTCTGAATAGGATTGTCTCAACTAGTTAAATATGGTAGTTTTTCAAGAAACATTTTAGTTCATTCTTCAGACATATCAGACAAAGTTAATCGTCGACTTGCTTATCTTATAGACAGATTTTTAATGAGAAAAATTTCTTTTGAATCTTTCAATATTTGTCGATATTCTTGTATTGAGATAGGAAAAGTTACTAATACTGATTATTCGAATATTAGTTGAATTTCATATAATGCATCCATCTATTTTGTAACATCATACAAATTTTGTATTGAATCTAAAGAAGGATATAATTCTGAAGTGTCATTCTTCATTCTCAGCAAGGGTATTAGTCTCAGCATGATATATTCTGTTTCATGATAAGATTTCTAAAAAAAGAAAAACAGAGAAATATTCAAGATAATAGGTCCTGGCAATTGTTAATGGATAATAATGAGTAGATCAAATAGTTTAGATTAATGTCCAAGAATATATTTTTATTTTTAATACAGTTTCAGTAGAATTGATGACTTAATGTATAGAATAAATAAAGTACTATTAATAGTTGGAATATTAGTATTTCTAATTTTCTAAGAATTATTTTTTAATTATAATAAGAAAAATTAAAAGAAATCTTCTTCATTTGTATCAGTGCGCTGCGAATTACTCAAAAACCAAACGGAATTCGTTCCTGATAAAGATTTCTTTAAACTTTCTTTTATCTAATTCTGAATAATTACTTAAAAGTTGTCTTTTTTTCCTCTGAAGGCCAACGTTTATGTACTTAAACTTATAAATATTTGAATTATAACGTTTGTTAAATACTTTCTAGACGAAAAACATTTCTAATGTCAACAGAAATCAGTTTCATCTTTTTTTTTTCATTTCTAATTGCAAACGTAGATAAATCAGAAATTGTTGTTTTTCTATTCAAATAAATAAATAAATATTTAAAATGATTGGCATACCCATAAGAAGAAATTTTAAAAATAAATACATAAAATGTATTGGTTTTTCTTTAACTGATTCAGCACAGATTTTCGGTGGTATACAAGCCAATATAACATACATCAATGTAAAATAAAATGATATTAACGGTGGATAATAATATGATTGATAATGTCTATTCATTAATAAACATAAGGTTATTGTTAGAAAATTATATTTAAATAACATTTGTATAAATGGTAAAAATTGATAATTTCCTGTTGTCCAATAATAATGAAAATGACTATAGGCTGATAAAAATAAATAAGCACTTATTAACAATTGTATAGACATTGATAAAACCAGACTTTTGCCTGATGCATCTGTCATTTGATATGCTAACAAAATAACCATCATCCAACCACGCATTTCATTGATCTGTTCTTTACTAAAAAAACGATCACTATTGTTATTATTCGTTCCATTTGTTAGAATTTTATTAGTTAATGTTGTTGAATTATTTTCATCATTTGAATCTGAATGCGATGGAATTTGTTCATAATCATTATTATGTATTGATGAAAAGATTGGATTTGAATTTGAATTTGAATTTGGAGTTGTTGTTAATGGTGTTTGACTTGGTGATGAACGATTCGATGTCGTTTTATTAAAATATTTATCATGAAAAAATATTCCTAATATACCAATATAGGTTAACGGTAAGAAAAAGGCAATACGAGAAAAATGAGAATTTTCTTTCATTAAAAAATCTGTACGATCAGCCAAATAGAAATAAAGAAGAATAAATGCATATTTCACACTAAAATAAAAAGTGACGATGTTTTTAGAAGACGACCATGTTTTTCGTTCAGTTTTCTTACCTTGTACGAAGTATGATCGGTTCAGTTAAAGGAAAATGTAATAACGAATTTTGTTTCTTATAAAATCTTGACGGATATGATGAATTGTTATTATTGTTTCCGTTCGATGACGATAAGGAAGATTGTGTTGCTATTGATTTTGTTAATAATAACGGTGGTAATAAATGTTCACGAGATTTCTTACGAAGATTTCGTAAGCATTTTGGAATGCAAAATCTATAACGACTTAAACCGTTTGATAATGATGATGAATGTTTTTGATTTGAACTTATATTTGAGTTATAAACACGAGTGTGGCTAAAAACGATAGAAAAAAAAATATTTTAGTTTGGCAACAAAAAATAAATGCTCATCTATAAGATTACGTTACAATAATTGACAAAATCAAATAGAAACATTTTTTAGCAATGAATAAAAGCTGTAAGAATATTTATTTACTTGGTAAATAGATACGAATTATTAAGTCACAAGTAAGCACGACTTTGCAAAGATTAGGCAAGGTAGTCAATTAAAAGATTTTTATTTTATTTTTTGGTAGACTTAACTGGTTTTTAATACAGGAATTAAACGAATTTTAGAAAAATGATACACCGTAAAATACAGGAGCTCCTACTGTGAAGGAAAAGAAAATTTTTCAAGGTTGATTGTTAGAAGACCAATCTTGAATACAAAATAAAATGCTATTAGCAAAATCTCTACTGGGCTGAAAATATGAAATATGATATAGCTGTTATTTACATGTTGTGCAAGAGAGAACTACTAAGCATGCTCTCTTGTGATCTGTGGGCATCTGAATTTCTACATTTATATGTTAACAAAAATTTCTCTTCGTACATATATGTCACGTTTCACAAAAGCATTGGTTATTACGCTGAAAAATGAGATTTATTTTTGAACAAAAACCTTACTTCGATACACAATCTCCATTCACTGTTGGTGGAAGTAATTGCTGATCGGGTTCATCTTGATCATCATTAATATCTTTACTAAATGCACCATTCATATGACAATATCCATTGGCTTGTTGATTTTTATCTTGATGTTGTTTTTGTTGTTCATCGTGATTTGAAGTTTTTCCATATTTTAATCTAATGCGACTTGTACGTCTGAATATGAATACTGATCTTATACGATAGACAATATAAATAATAAAAAATGTTATTGAGCAACCTAACAAAAGACTTATTAGAAATTGTAAACGTGTCAATGGTGGAACTTGTGCACAACAGGTACCATCATCAGGCAATAACAATGGATTGCACAATGCATTGAGCAATATTTGTACACATGTATGTCGTGTAAATGATGATAGTTTATAAAATTCATGAATCTTTCCACTAGTTATCATCAATGTGGATGACATAGTATGATTTTTTTTTAATATTACATACGAATAATAAATAATATCACTTTGATTACTATAAATATCATCAAAATCATATTGTATTATGGATGATAAATTTGATTGAATATCATTAGTTGTTGTTGTTGTCGTTGTTGTTGTAGTTGTTGTTGTTGTTGTTGTTGATGTTGTAGTTGGTAGAATAGTTGACGACGATGATAAAATCGTTAAATCATCATGTTCAACATCATTTAAAATATCATCATCGATATCATCGTTATTATTACGATTATTATCAAAATATTCATCATTATTATCATCATATAAAAATGAATTTTCACTTGATATAGATGAGTATTCTTCTAAGAATGTTGACGAATGCCAATAAATATTTGTATGATAAAATATATTATGTGCTATAGAATTTATACGATCAATATAAGAATTTAATTTTGGTATCAATTCATTTATATACATTGTTTGTTGGTAAATTGAATGATGAAAAAATTGAAATAAATGCTCATCCAATGATAAGTGTGGTTGTCCAAACCAAAAAATAGTTGTTGTTGAACTTAAATTTGTCAATAAATTTTGTTTTATACGCGTTAAATTGCCTTCAAAATATTTAATTGTATCAAAACTTGCATTGTTACGCAAAGCATCGTATAAACCAAGACCAAATATAAGTACATGTGGCCTTATTGAATTATTATTTGCCCATGAATATAATAAATTATATAAATAATCATTGAATGTTTGTACGGAATAAAATTGTAAAATAAAATTTTCATTTGCATATGTTAAATTTTTTAAATGTTTATAAACAAATGGATGTGATTTATGTTGTTTACTATTATCTTTATTGTTATCATAATTATTATTTATGGTTGTCTTTTTTCTTGATAGATTTGAATGATATTTAATTGTATTTATAAATGTACGATAAATCATATAAAGACGTTCATCACCGATAAATGTATACGAAAAATTAATTTTTCTATTGTCTTGCTTTTCTTGTTTTAAACGTTGTTGTTCTTGTTTACGTGTGCGCAACCATTCACCAGGATCAATACGATTATTAAATGCTTTACGTGTTGCTATTAAACTCTTATCTATCGTTGATGATGATTGTGTTATTAAACGTGTACATTGATTAAAATCAAGTAAATCATACCAATGTATCATACAACCGGTTGGTTGCCATACATGATAACGTTCAATGCGACCTTCATTTAATAGACGATGACATGAAGTAGCACCTTTTATATAACGCAATGATCCATGATAGAAAAGTAACGCAAAAAAAAGTAAGAGACAAATTAATTTAGCATTATGAATATTAAAATGATTGAGAATAGTTGAAGAATTTGATGATGATGATGATATATTATTATTATTATTCAAATGAGAGAGAGAATTAGTTAATGTATTGGATGTTGTCGAATTTGTCGTTGATGCTATTGGAAGCGAAGATGATGATAATGGGAGATTTGATGATAATTTTGATGTCGCGGAATTTTTTATTGTAATCGAAGTAAATGATGATGATAATGATGAATTGGCATCAGAATTTACTGAGAAAAAAAATAACATATTGAAATATATAATTTTTTTCTTGCTTATATGATGAATATTAATATGAAATATACTGACAATTATTATAAGAAAAAAAAAAAGACAAAACGAATGAAAAAGCTTATTGTTACTTGATATAATATTTACTTAGGCCTAGTCTTGTCTCTTTTCATACTCATCATTTCTATTATTTAACCATTACATTTATAGACATAGAATTATCTTCTTCTTTTTTTTTTTTGTCAAGTGTTAATCATTATTTAACAAAGAGAAAGTTTCTTACATCGTAAATTTTCTTGTGACACCGAATATGGATGTTGAGGATAAGAATTACTATTTAAATTAGTAAATGATGATCGATCTGATGCAAATGAAGATGTATGCCGATGTGATGAACGTGTTGGTAGAAAATTTGTAGGAGGAGTTGGATTTGTATTATTTAAGTTGTTGTCTTTTCGATTTGATCGAGATGGCGGAAAGATTTGTGCAGCAAGTGCATTCGATGTTGTATCATATGAATGATGTCTAACGTGATGTGAAGATGACAAATGATGAGCAACAGTGCACGGTGAAGATTTTGTATTTGTAGTATCAATTGGATTTTCAATAGGTATACTCTTATTGGTGGGATTTACATGTTTTGAACTCATATTCCATCTGAAATTTTTAACATTAAATTAGTTTTTAATATCTTTAAATAAAATTAAAAATACGGTTAAAAAGAATGAGAAAATATTCTTCATAGATAGGAGACACGATTTATTATATTTTCTATCTTTCTTTCTCTTGTTCGTACATTCTCATTTTCTATGTTCCTGTATTTTCGGGTTTTTGATTTATCGAAAAACAATATAGCTCACCGTCTAAGCAATTTTTCATTTAGTTCAGGATCATTGCTAATTGCATGTTGTCTGTTATTCCACATTTGTTTTGTTTTATTGTACATATATGTAGCGATGTTTCAATTTTTTTTCTGTAGTTGCTTCAATCGCTGGTACTGTTTGTTTTCAGTATACTATTCAATACTTTCATGAAGTAAACAATCCACCCTCACAACGTCGCCTTCGACAACGTCCTCATAATTCGATTGTATTCAAAATCGTCATCACCACCATTTTCAATCGGAATCGAAGTGAATAAAAGGAGAGAGAGAGAGAAAGAGAGAGAGAAACAGAAAGAGCAAATAACGACCTGTGCAAAGAAGGATAAAAGCTCTATTTTAACATAATTGAGTATGTCTATTTGTGTACCTGTAGTGGGCAACACGTGCAAATAGACACAGCATCATCAATATTGTTACGGCGAGGGAGACAAAAAAAAACAGTTTAAAGAACACGAAACATCGACGTTGATTATCATTAAGAACAAGTATAGATCAACATCATCATTTTCTTTCTCTCTTGTATTATTTCAATTGAATGGTGGTGGTGCCCCGTCAAAGAAGGCTAACATGACGCAATTAAAAATGGAAGAAATGAAAAATAAGAAGAAGACGAAGAAAAAAACCGAGAGTTGTAGCAATAGTGAGAAAAACTAAAAAGAAAAGAAGAAGAAAAGAATTCTCGACAGCCAACATAAGAACACGATCTGACAACGTTTTCTACTAATAAAGCCAAAAAATTTCAATGTCACTCATTCTTCCGTTCTTGTCATCGTCGTTCTTGTCCTTGTTCTTCTTCTTGTTTTTCTTTTTTCTCTATCCTTTTCTTTTTTCAATACACAAGACAAATAAACTTCTATAATTTGTGAGTCGATCAACGTCGGAACTTTTCTATAACGGTTACTTCCTTTGTAAGATCATTCTATAAATGAACTCAACCAGAACACATACACACATTCACAAATCAATGGAAAATGAAATAAATAAATAAATGAATAAGTAACAAAATGATACTGAAATATTGATTCATTCATCAATACAGATTATGAATTCGATCATAGTGTCTCCCTTAGGATTGACTACAAGCATAAAATAAAAATGAAACGAACTATTATGCATAAAAGATGAGTGAATATATCAGAGATTGATATAAAATATTAAAAAGAAAATGCAAAATAAATAAGAGTTAATATATTACTTAGAAATAATATCGATAATCTTCAGAATCAGATCCATTATGTACATTATGTAAATATTTTAAAAAAATTATACTTATGTTGAAGGCATCAAAAACGCACAGGCATCCTGTTTTTCTTTTCGCTGGTAGGTCTTACTATTTAAAAATCGAATGCATTTGCATAACATGATTCATTATTTTTCTTTTTGTAAATGTATGCAATTTCTTGGCTCTAGTTTCGATCATAATAATTGTAAAAGAATGATTAGTTTCTTCTATATGTGCATCTTCTAAAAATTTTTGATTAAATTCGAATCTAATAAATTTATAATTGTAGAATAAAAGTGAAATATTAGTGATAAGTTCGATGTGTATGTTATTTTTATTTCTATTCTTTATTTTTGCTTATTAAGTATGAATATTTTTTTAAATTAGAAAAAAAATCTCGTTCGGTGAATTGAAAATCAAAAAAGAAAACTTCGTCATTTCAGAGGCTTAACAAAGTCAAAGCAATCGAATGTAAGTAAGAAAAAAAAACATTGAAAGCTAAGAGGAACCTACGTCTGTTCACGATTTTCAAGGCCTTTGCCATAGCAAAGCGTTGACAAGAACATAACGCCATTTTTGTTTGTCATTCTATTCACGTATCTCTCACTACAATCTTATTTCTTCTTTTCTTTTTACGATGATAAAAGTTTTTCTTTTTTACTCGCCAATGAGCAAGTTTATCCTTTTTCATTATTGATCAAAGTTGTTCCACGAAATAGAGAAAAAAAGCAATAAACTATTTATTGACCATAAATTTATAGTCAATGTTAATATATGTATATTCATTTTAGTTGTTTGATGTATGTTTACTCGTTTTACACGAATAGGATACTAATTTTCTGCTTGTCACATGATGTTATAATACAAAAAGAAAAGAAGAAAAAAAAAGATAACATATTGATAGAACTATTAGTCATAGTAAAATTTAAAAACCTTTACAACAAAAATGAATGTGACTGTTTAGTAGTAAAATTTTCTAAAAATCTAGTAGCTTCAGTTAGTACACTATGTCAAATATTGTTAGAGTACGATTCTAATTTATTAAGAGGCAGTTATTCATATTTTATGATCTTGTCTTAACGAATTATTTTAAATATTGGCTGAATATAGTAAAAACTATCATAGACAACAATGTCGTATGGCTTAATGTGAAGTTCATGACAAGATGTTCTATTATGTCTTAACAGTCATTAATATTCCGAGAGAAAAATATGCATGAAAAAAGAAGTGGTAATTAACATTAATTATTTATTCTCTTTACTTACAAATTTCATATTGCTGAAAAATACATATGTTCGTTACAAAAACAAAAGCTTCGCTTTCATACAAGACCTAGTTTATTTATAGCCGACACTTTAGAAAGACCATAGGGTGTTCACTGAAGAAAAACTAGACAGTAAACTCTGATATTCATTAGTTTGTTTTTACCTGCATAGATAAGTGATCGGATCTTGATTAAAACTTTCAAATTATAATTTTATATGTGATTGCTTCTCTATACTTGTATACTCATTGGAGAGTAAAATATATTTTATCTAGCGGGTTTTCAGGGAAGTAATATCAAAATTTTTCCGGCTTAAAAGCAAAATATTTTTGTATTTCCTTAATATATTTACTCCATATGTGTGAAATATGCCATTCATTTTTTTTCTTCATGCGAGTAGAAAGCAACGTCAATATAAAGATTTGATATGTTATCAGAAAAGAACAGCGTATAGCTACTCGAGCTGTGTCTATACTATTCAACTGAACCTGGACAAAATTGCTTTCTTTTCAATCTTTTGGGATTAGCAAGAATGGCGTTCGTGCTTATTGGCATTGTGGTTGACTATTAATATAATAAATGAGAAATAGCATGCATTCTGTACAAGAATGTAAATGTTAATTGCGTTTTTAATTTGTTAAAATAAAAACAAATATTTATTCCTTCTAGCGATTAGTTTTACAAAAAGAAATACAATTTAATTAGACGAGATTATTAATATCTTTTAATTTAAAAAAAATCTTTAAACGATTTAAAAGAGTTCACGTATTTTTATAGGATAAATTTAGTTTCAATTGTAATAGAATATTAAAATATTCAATTTAACTCTAATAAAAATATAAAACTATGTATTAAAATAGTTCTTGAATACAAGCTATATTTAGTCAACTGTACTAATTAGAATCGAATACTATACGAAGTTCATTCTTTATGTTCAATTAGAAAGAGAGAGAGAGAGAGAGAGAGAGAGAGTATAATCGTTATTTTGAAACAAAATATTTCATCGAACTGCTCTCTAATGAGGAAAGATATTTTCAAATTTATTTGATTCAACTTGTATTTTGTCTCAAAAAAAGACTCCATATGTTGTCCTAGGCATAACAGTCTAGGTTAACCTTTGCACATTACATAAAAATTTATAGATATTTTTTGTTTACATTAAAAAACAACATCATATTGAAGCCCATCTGTAATCATTTGTCCCTGGCAGCATGATTTTTTTTTCTTGAAATTTGAGTATCTATTGTTCTACAAAAACCTTATCATTTACTGTATCTCTTTTCCGCAAGCAAGTACAAATGCGATCACCTATGACAATGTAACATGTTGTAGTTTTTTCGAAATAAAATTTAAACCAATACGCAATATAGAAACCGTCGTTGTACACAATTCCATTTTGTTGAAGGGTAAAACATTTTACAAGTTCTTCTTTTGAAATTTTAAAAACATTAAAGCTACTTTAAAAGAAGTACTTGAATAAGGTAGTGGAGAAAATATTTCTTTTCAAAACAAAAAGTCATGCGTTACAGAGATAAAAAGAAAATGTACTGTCTATAACATTCTGTTTCAATACAGTTAAGTTTCTTAGCTGTTCAAACACTTTTGAAACACTCTTTTAGAAACAATATTAATCTAGTTGAATGATAAATTACTATCTAGTGATTAGTTGATAAAGGATTGTTCATTCACGTAAGTTCTAATTAAAACCTATATACGACGAATGCCCTAGCAATCATTGTTCCTATTGTAAATATATGTATATATGTGAATAATACAAATGATTGTACTTAGTTGTTTTCACAACGATAAACTGTTGAAGCTGCAGGCAAATGATATTTGTACAAAAACAAAACAAATCATTAATAAGCTCACTGTGTCATAGAAGGGTATCTTCTATCTCCTTGTTTTTGTAAACATTTTAGCTTTTCGAAGAGAATACAACTAATGCAACTGACATTTATACCCGTACATAGACCATCGAAACTATCAAGATATCAGAACCAAAGAGAGAGAAAAAGAAAAAATCTCTTTGAATCTTCGAAATTCGGTTTTCCATAGTTTCCTATGATGTAGATCACAGATCCTATGACAATTAATGCGATGGATATAAAAATTATAGTTCAGAGAATGAGAGAGTATTGTGTTCCCTTTTTATTTTGCAAAATTCAATCGTCGTTAATGAGAAAAACATAATGATTTATAGACAAAATTAGTAATTCAATTTTTAAAACCGATTAAATCTAAGCAAGATGATTCAACAAAAAATCGAGTAACTTAAGCTCTGAATAAAACTTGCAAATATCTATGATAAAAACTTCGTCTCAATTCAATGAATTTCGATAGGCATATCTATTCATCAGAACATACTCCTGCGAAAGACAACATATTCACGATAATCACAGCTAACACACCTGGTTTTGTATCTTTTGAATTCTATCTATGATGAAAATTTCTACTTAATCCATAGTATCTTTTCAAGAATCAAAAATCGAGATTAAAAAATACGAAACAATACTTTTTATTATGAATTAATATTCAAGATAGAAGTATCTTTAACGATGAGTATCTCGTTTTAATAATATTTCAAATATGAAGCTGTACTCACTCAATTACATTTATCAAGCATCTTCATTCAATAATAATCCTTCAACTTCTATGTCGACATAGCAAACATTCCAACGATTAATTTCAATACATCAGCATTACACAAATTCTATTGTATTGTCGATTTACGTACGTTCCTTACAATAATTTCATTCATTATATCTAAAATTCAAACGATACAAAACTTAAATTTTTCTCTCACCAATTCAATAGCAAATAGAATATTAGTAGAAAAAACAAAAGTCCACTGTATAAACACACAATATTATTTTATCACACAAAGAAACAAGCAAACAAACAAAAACTGAGACTGAGAAAAGATAACGTACAAAAGAGAATTCACGTTTCCTAGCTGTTCTATCGCAACGAAGGATAAAGCACTAGAACTGTTAACAAAAAAATAAGAACAATATGAAATTCATCTGTTTTTCAACAGGAACATCCTCGTTGAGGTTGATTGGAATTTTCACTATCATTAAGGTTAATCGTATCTACTGTTATTTTCTGTTCGTTTTTCCACAATGATGGTGTTTGAATAATCTAATCATTATAAATAATAATATAAAGAAACTAGAAACTTGAAATCTTACTTTTCGAACGAGTTCTTCGAATGCGATTTGGACACCTTCACGCGTTCGAGCTGATGCTTCAATAAATAGCATGGAATATTTACGTGCAAATTTTGCACCTTCATCGCGTGTTACTTCTCGTTTATCTTCACAATCAATTTTATTTCCCACAAGCATTTTAACAACATTTAATTTTGTTGAAAAGGTATCTAACTCTGCAATCCATCTAAAAAAAAAGAAATCTGTTCAAATCTAAATAATTTATTTCCATTAATTTAAAATCTAACCGATCCAACTGTCGAAATGAATCACGGTTACATACATCATAAACAAGAATAGCACCTTGTGCACCACTGATGAGAAAAAAAATAGAGAAACTCAATTCAATAGTTAATTGAAAATAATTCTACCGATAATCTAAATAAAAAAATAGAAAGAATTTTCATGTATTCAAGAAAAAAACATTTAAAATACATACAACCAGGTACTAATGTACGAAAACGTTCTTGTCCAGCTGTGTCCTAAATAAATTAAGGTTAAATAATGATTCTTCTGTAATCAGTCAACAACTAGTGAATTTTCAATATTTAAACGGTAGGCCTCTAAGAACAATTTCGTATCAAAATTACACAAAATTAATACTTAAAGACTTAAAATTATCTCAAGAATACATACATATATCGAAAATATAATAATTTTAACTCATTATGAGATAATCACCTCTAACCGCTTCTGAGGCAGAATACAATAGAACATGTCAAAAGAAAACGGAAAACAATAAGAATCGGGAAATACATGTAGATTATTATCGTTCTGTACACATAGGACAATTCAGTTGACAACGGCTCCTTCATGGCAACAATAGGATACTTCATTCTTATGACACAGCCCAATTAGAAAACGTTTTTCAAAAACTGAAATAGTTATACATACCCAAATAGCCAATTTAACTCGATTCCCGTCAACTTCTAGCGGTTTAACTAAAATGAGTTTTTTTTTTATTTAAAATATTTATTCTTTCTAAAAAGACAACTAAAACCTTTAAAATCTACACCAATAGTTGCAGCCATTTCAACGTCGAATCTATCATCAGTAAATCGTAAAAGTAGACAACTTTTTCCAACACCGGACTCTCCAATAATAAGAATTTTTAATGTTGTCAATATACTATCATCACTACGACTCATTATAACTGATAATCAAAGTAAATGAAGAGAAAAGAAAAATAGAATTATTATCTAAAATAAGTTTAATTATAAACTTTATGTTTGAAAAGAATGATCAATTGATATTCATTTGAAATTTACATGTTACAAATATTCGACGTTTGTTTGAAGAAAGATCTACGCGAGTTCAGATGATGATACAAAGAAAAATCTCTTTCGTGTACTATAAAAAATAAGCATATCCTATCCTATAAACATATGGACAAAGAACATCCATAAAATACCTTATTTATCAGTCGACTGACGATGATTAAGAATAGTTCGACTTAATACTTTTATTGAATCGATGAAATTCTGTAGAGCCAAAATTATTTTAATTCATATCGTTTGATTTAATGATAGATGTCGAGATCTGGAAGTTTTTATTGGTTATAACGGAACGTATGAAAAAGTTCTGTCATAAATTCATTCTTTCAATATAATTCTATAATTATCTTACTTTTTTTTTTAAATAACTTATACCAGACGTAAAAAATGGATTATTGTTACTTGGTTTAATTTTTTGTATTTTAAGAAATGAAATCTTCTCAGCCAATTGCTCCTATTCAACGCACAATTCTTCATTATATTGTCAATATTGTTATCATTATTATTATTGTTTTAATCATCTTTAATTTTCTTCCATTAGCTGGTTAAATCAAAGTACTATATTAAATGCTTCGAAAATCAGTAGTTAATATTATTTTACAGTATTATTATACTTCTAACCATCGTTTGTACTACTTTGGATTTATGAAAAAGTGATAAATTATTGATGCATCAGACGAAAAATTCAATGATGAAATTAAAATAAACATAATTTTCTTTGTTTTTAATTTCTTTGCTGCTTCATAATTGATAAACTCTAAAAAAAAACGACACATTCATGAAGAAATGTTTCAACAAGAAAAAATAAACAATTATAAAATAATCCATCAAAAAAAGTTTTTTTCTTTTAGTAATGTTGTTTTTCTGATGCAGTCTATATAAGTGAATCATCTCATTCGCCCTTGGAGTAAATAAAGGTCATTGTCAATATAATATCTTCAATGGGAAACACTTAAAAAAATGATGACTTGATTTAGTTTTGTGAAATAAAGAACAGTAGACCAGAAAAAAAATTTTCATTGTTAAGTTTTAAGTGATTGATAAATTTCAATCAATGCATAACTTACACGTCAATGCCAAAGATTTGTAATAATTTGAAAGTATTTACTTCGCTGCCAATGATTTTTTATAAATAGCCAAATAAAGTTTTCTATACCTTCGTTGGCAATCATGTACTAAATGCCGGGTATAAAAAATATTCATATTGATCTGCGCTTAAAAGATCTATGCAGAATCTGTTTGTTCAATTTCCGTTCAATCATGATTCCTTCGAAAAGAAATCACAAATAATCGTCTACAATGAGAGCTTCATCTTCAATCCAAACATACATACTCAAAAGTGTTTTGTTACTAACTTAAGGCTAGTTTATACTGAGCCAATTAACAAAAGACTGCAAATCGACATCTATTTGTAGAGTAAGATTGTGTTTGTGGATTGCTACAAATAATCAATATCTATTAGATAAAACAATAATGATGTGAAAGATGACTACAGTCTTCAATCCACAGAATTTCTAGTTTATTCTTACGAGTGAACATTCCCAAGTGATTCACGCCGTTTGGACTAATATTTTGCTCACAGGAAGGATCCAATGAGACTAGGAAAAGACTAAAAGATTTCGTGCCATTAGGTCTTCCTTTCAAAGTGATGACTCTTTTGCTAAATTTTTGACCTTGAACAAGGAATTTATAGAAAAATTGTATGAAGGAATTTCGAACTGAAATTTTTCCTAACAGTAGGTCTCATCGATCTTAGAAGAAGGTTCCAAAGGTTCAGTTAAAACTGATGATTTCTTTTAGAGATATTACACATTGAAGAAAAGTCAATTTTACGATAATTTTTGGTCCATGGCCGTTTTCTTCAATAGGCAATATCTCTAAAAGAAAGCATCAGTTTTAACTGAAACTTTTGGAACCTTCTAAGATCGATGAGACCTCTTAATTAGAAGAAATTTCAGTTCGAAATTCCTTCATACAGTTTTTCTATAAATTCCTTGTCCAAGGTCAAAAATTTAGTAAAAGAGTCATCACTTTGAAAGGAAGACCTAATGACACAAAAACTTTTAGATTTTTCCTAGTCTCATTGGATCCTTCCTATGAGCAAAATGTTTGTCCAAACAGTGTGAATCAATTGGGAATGGTTCCTCGTTAGTCATAATTTTGTACAAAATCAAGTTCTCCAGAGCAGCAAAAGGCTAAACTTATCTTGAAGGGTTCCATTGAAAGAAGGGATGCATGAAAGAAAAAAGCCTATTTTACTCGTTAAAAAATGGCAATTACCCACGACAACGTTGCAATGGCAACACTTTGTTGAAAGAAAAGCATTCTTCTATTTTAACTGATATATATATATATATATATTTTTTTTTTTTTTTTTTTTTATTGACAAGCACGTTTTTCCAACTTGGCACACAATCATAAATTCTTCGTTAGACATGTTTATGAGAAAGCATGACTTTTCTATAAAACTACAGCTGCTTATAGGATCGCATGGATACGTTTGCTTTGGTCATATTTATTATTCGTGGATTGTTTCGCAAGCAGTTTAAATAAACATATGAATTCATGTTTTAGAAAAGAAAGGCATTCTGATGATATAAAGTTTCTGCAATGTATTGGTGATCATTGCATGATATAGCTCTGAAAAATATATCGATTCACTAAAAACATTTGACGACTATTACATAGTAGAATGCACTTGAATATCAGCAAAGAAATATTCTTTATAAAAGAAAAATGAAAAGGAATAAAATCAGCATGTATGGATTGAAAAATAATCTTCAGAAAAAACAAAAATGGAAAAGTACTTGAAAACATGATATCGAACCAAACATGTCATTTAATTATTTTGCATACACCGATTACTTACATAGTTAGTACTTATTTAGTTTGAGCTCAGCGAGAGAAATTTTTCGACAAAATAATACCAATTCATGCTCTTTCGTTATCACCATCAAAATATTTTATTGAAACTTTAATCAAGCGTTATTTTTACTTCATTATTGCATTCCGATATTAGTAACGAAATTGTACTTGCTGAATAGTGTTCAATATAATTAGAATATTATTATATTTCATGCTTCTAACAAATAATACGCTTTAACATGCACAGTTTTTCGTTCTTTCTAAACATACTTTACGAATCACACTGATAACAGTTATCTATAATTTGAGTCTTCATCTTTTTTTTATATATTATTTCTGATGATGTTTTCTTTCCCTCCGATAATTATTGTATTACAATAAAATTCAATCGAAAGAAAAATAAATGCGAAAACCTCGGATTTAAATCCGAGTGTTATGTGTACTTCGAAAAGTGAAAAGGTATATTAACTTTTTTTTTTCTATAAGACATAGATCTCATCAAGATAATCCCTTGTCACTAAATTGCAAGGAGAAAATACAGGCGTGCTAAGTTAGCATGGACCACACTGTATGCGACCATATCCGGTGATCACTGACTCTACTCTTAGAGTGATATAATATCTTTAGAAATCACAGAAATTAAGTTCAGATTCGTGTTTAGCTTGGAAAACTGGGCAAGAAGAGTTATTTTTGAATGGATTTGCGCTTGTATCTAGCGGAATTACGATCGTAAGGAACCTCATGAATCTGTAAGAGATATATGATAGATACAGGCATCAGTATTCTCCTAATAAATCACCAATATTAATAGCTATCGAGTTCGGGTTTTTATCTTTCGATAGTCCTTTTGACTAGCTACAAAACCAGGCATTTGAGAAACCCCAAAACTACTGGTCATCTGAAATATATTTAGCCAATTTGGTTTCTGGATGCAGTTTTTGTGCATTTTTTGAGACCTTTTTCAGGCGATATTTTGTTAGAAAGCTACGATTTGGTTCAAAATTAATATCAGATTCGGAATCAGCGTTAAAAACTGAGTCGATTTATATGTGTTGTGAATAATTCTAAGAAAAATTGTTTTTTTGAAAAATCCCTGTACCCCCCCTCAGGGTTGGATTGGTCAATAATGACAATTTTTTCGATAACTCAACCATTTCTTGGCGGATCCTTCTCATCTTCGAACTCGACTGAGACATTAATGAGGCTGAACTGTGTAGAAAATTTCATCATGATCTAACTCTCCTTTCCAGAGTTATCGTGTAAACGGACGGCCGGACGGACACACTGACCGATTCTAGTGTACTCACTTTTTTGAGTACACAAAAAGACATCTATGGTATTTTTCATTGCAGAAAACAATTCCAAAAGTATCATGGAGTTTTCTATTTGCATATCAAAAATAAAAATCAGATGAATCGTTGCCTTTGTATGTCTTATCTTTTAAATTACAAATCTGATAGATGACGTCTATAGAAAAAAAGGATAGCTATGTAAGAACAACGATTACTATGTTTATGTACATCTTTAGTTAGAAATATCAGAACAAAAATTTCTTGACGACAATCAGAGGACTTGAAACAGACTAACAAGATATTGTAACAAAGTCGTTGGGCTAGATTCATTTTTGAATGATCTGATTGGCAATAACACTTATATCTTGATCTTCGTGATGATTATATCGATAGTTTCAATTAAGATTCGAAGAGACTAAATGATTTTTCTTCTGAATAGCGCTCTATTCGTGTATTCATAAACATTACTTAGTCATATTTACATTATTCTATTCCACATTTCTTTACTGAAAATTCCGTACGCGTTGTGAAAGATTTCTCATGTTTGCTAGTTATACATATTCCCTTGAGTGCTTATTAAGTTAACTTGGAAATTTACAAAAGATCGTTTTTATCTATTAAACACAAGTCGATCAGAATGTTTTTAGCCTCGTTAAAGTTCAGAGTTCAGTATTTTAGATTGATTCTATCAATGGCAAAAGAATAGCAAATCATAAT